TTTTTTTTTTAAAAGGCTATTTTTTTTAAAAGATTTTATTTATTTATTTGAGAGAGGGAACACAAGCAGGGGGAGTGGGAGAGGGAGAAGCAGGCCTCCCGCTGAGCAGGGAGCCTGACGTGGGGCTCCATCCCAGGACCGTGGGATCATGACCTGAGCTGAAGGCAGACGCTTAATGACTGAGCCACCCAGGCGCCCCTTAAAAGACTATTTTTTAAAGATCAGTTTTGGGGGGCACCTGGCTGGTTTCTTTAGAGGAGTGTGTGACTCTTGATCTCAGGGTTGTAAATTCAAGCTCCACCTTGGGTGTAGAGATTACTTAAATAAATAAATATTAAAAAAAACAAGATCAGATTGGGGTTCGCAGCCAAATTGAGCAGAAAGTACAGAGATTTCCCATATACCCCTTACACACCACCCCCCCACGCTCACAGCTTCCTCCAATATCAACACTCCCCGCCGACCAGGGTGGTGCATTTGCTATAAATGATGAACTGCATCGACACATCATCATCACCCAGAGTCCATGGCTTACCTTACCATTCACTCTGGTTGTTGTACATTCTATGGGTTTGGACAGACATGTAATGACATATATCTACCATCATAATCTCAGATAGCGTATTTGCATTGCCCTAAAATCAGCCTGATTTTTTTAAATATTTTATTTATTTGAGAGAGAGAGACAGAGATAATAACAGAGATAGGGAGAGAGCACAAGCAGGGAGGCAGAGGGAGAAGCAGCAGGCTCCCCGCTGAACAGGGAGCCCAACATAGGGCTCCATCCCAGGACCCTGGGATCATGACCTGAGCCAAAGGCAGATGCTTAACCAACTGAGCCACCCAGGCGCCCAGCATGAGTTTTATAAAGCCATTTCCAGGGGTCAAAGACAATGGGAGATCAGTGCTGTCCAGTAAGGCAAACCACAAACGTGAGCCACCTTTATAACCGAATGTTCTCATGACCCTGTTTAAAAAGGCAAAAAGACATAGGTGTCATTCATGTTAATAATATATCTTGTTTAATCCAACACATCCAAAAATTCAACATGAAATCAATATAAAAATTATTAACGGTCTGTTTCACATTTTAAAAAGTTCTTTTGCGAAGGATATGAAACCTGGCATGTGTCATCCACTGACAGCTCATCTCAACTTGGCTCAGCCACAGTAAGTGCCACATGTGGCTCGTAGTGACCACACCTGCACAGAGATCACAGGTCTAATAAATAGACACTTAGCCTCTGAGGCTGACTGATGGATGATTGACTGATAGTGCATCTTCCATCCTGTTTCCAAAAGAATTTTAGGTGGCATAAGTATGTGTGAAGTGCAGCACGGGAAATGGGAATGGGGGAGGGGTAGAGGCACAACATGGAATCAGGACAGAGGCCAAAGGCACCAAGGACCTCAGTGACCTAGAACCTTGTCACAGTGGGTCTCAAGTGTGTCTCTGTCCAGCAGCCAGTGAGGAGAAGCCTAAGCAGGTTCTCCATCCACAGTGTTGGGAACCCCCCGTTGCTCAGGAGATGTACCCCGATTCCGACTCAGCTAAGGTCAGGCAGGGATTTCTTCCAAGTGTCATAAACGGACTTGCGGCTCAGGGGTCCCCAAGATCACCGTCAGGTTCATTGATTTGCTAGGGCTCAAAGAACTCAGAAAGGCTCATGCTCACAGTTTATTGTAGCCAAAGGACACAGATGAAGATCAACTAAAGGTAGAGGTTCGTGGGGCTGAGTCCAGAAGGCACCAGGCACGAGCTTCCTGGTGTCCCCTCCCCGTGGAGGCATGTGGACAGCATTTACTTCTTTTAGCAACAGGGTGTGACGACAGTGTCCTGCCAACTAGGGAAGCTCACCTAGCTTGCTGTCCAGGATTTTTACTGGGGGTTGGTTATGTAGACCCGGCTGACCACCTGCACAGCTGACCTCGGTCTCCAATACCCCCTGAGGTCAAACCGGTACTGCGTGTCCAGAGCCCCCACCGTAGATCACACGTGAGCACACGCCATCCCGTGTGGCCCAAGGCCTCAGGCAACAAGGACACTTTGATCAAGCAGGACATTCTAGGGGCCTAGAGGGCACCTCTCAGGAGCCCGGCAAAGGCCAAACCATTCGTGTGCAGGATGTGGACAGCTCAGGCCTGCGGAGTTAATCCTCTACTGCACAAAAATGGAATGCAGATATCCTTGGATAGCAGATACCCTGATGCACTTGATCCGCTTCCCATAACATCCTCTGTGTGAGCCTCAGGTTCAAGTGGAGTTCAGTAAAACAATTCCACGGAGGGCCTGGAGAGGCAGTAAGGTGGACTCTCAGCCCCCAGCTTCTCCTGTGCTGACTTGATTCTGGGATTTCCGGGAAACAGTCCTGAGCTGGTGCGGGCCAGGTGCATGGTATAGACTGAGCTGGTGCGGGCCAGGTGCATAGCACAGAGTCCCACAGCATCACACCCAGGGCTGCAGGCCCAGGAAGAGCTGCATAATCTGGACTTAGCCCACTTTCCTGCACTGACAGGGGTCCTCTTAACAAAGCATTCGCCCAGCCTGTATCTGGAACACACATGAGCAAGTCACCTTGGGTGGGGTGCCAGAGAAAATGAATACAGAATACAGTTAAATTTCAGATAGATAACAAATCAAATTTTCAGTATAAAAATATCCCATGTAATATTTGGGATACACTTATACTAATCACAATTTCACTGTTTATCTGAAATTCAAATTTAATTGAACTGTCCTGTTGGGTTTTTGGTTTTGTGTTGTTTCGTGTTAAATCTAGCAACCCTCTCTCTCTCTCTTCCTCATCTCCTGCTCCTTCGTTCCGCTCCAGCCACAGTGGTCTCTGTGTTGCTCCTGAGACATACCCAGGCCTTTCCTACCTCCCGCTCGTCCCACGCTGTTCTCCACTCTTCCAGTGCCAGTCCCCTTCTCAAATGTCTGCTCCAATGTCCTGTGGTTGCTGTAACCGATGACCACACAAATGTGGTCGCTTTGACAAAGATTTCTATTTGACAAAATAGAAATCTCTTTTCTCACAGTTCTAGAGGCCAGAAGTCCAAAATCATGCTCCCTCCAAAGGCTCTAGAGAAGAATCCTTTATTTTGCCCCTTCATTGCCCTCATCACAGATTGTAACTGCTTTCTTTTCCCTGTCTTCCTCCCTCCCTCCTTTCTGTCTTCAAAACGTATCTGTCTTATGTCCAGCTTTGTGCTGGGTTCTGGGACGCCACGAGCAGCCCAAACAGGCAGTCCCAGCCCTCTGAAAAAGAAGAGTCTTGGGATAATAAATAACTTGGCTGTTTTCTGTGAGCTTATCGATCCCTGGGGTCAGCTGCCCCCCTCCCTGCCACTATAGGCTAGGTGAGGATGTCTCTCTTGTTCGACATTGTATGCCTTCCCCCTCCTGCTAGCAGGTGCTCAGAAAAATCTTTGTTGACTGAATGGAATTACTCTCGAGATCCTCCAGGAATGACAGGGATAATCCCATGCCTTCTATTTCAGGGTTTGGAAGATCTGTGCGGATATTCTTGGCCGACTCACAGGGGTTTCATCGATTCATGGCCACCGACCTTGAACATGAGGACACAGTAGAGACAGCCGGTTTTGGTCCTGAGAACAATCTGATTATTACTGGGTCCCGGGACGCACTCATTCAGGTGAGGGGTCATCCTCACTCTGCCTCTGGAATGGAAAGTATGATTCCTTAGGGGTCTTTTGGCTTCGAAATATAGAGACAGAAACTAGTGCAGGCGAAACAGGGCAGGTCATTGGGAGGATGTGGGGGAGGGATCCCCTGAGACCCCGCGACAGGCTTGGGGGTGGGGGGGGCAGGAGTTACCAAAATGTTCAACAAAGGATACAGCCTTCCCACCGAACCTGAAAACCTGGGAGGGTTTTGGCTTCAGAGTGGGGCCAGGGTGGGGGGACGTGGAGGAAAATTCCCATTGAGCTCCAAGTTCTCACGCCGGTGAGAGAAGCACATGATAAAGTAGTGGTTCTCTGAGCACCTGGGCAGCTCAGTCAGCTAAACATCTGACTCTTGATTTCAGCTCAGGTCATGATCTCAGGGTCTTGAGATCAAGCCCCACGTGTGGCTCTGTGTTCAGCAGGGAGTCTGCTTGAGGATTCTCTCCTCCCCTGCCCCTCCCCACCGCCTTGTGCTTACATGCATGGATGTGCATTCACACGCACATGCTTTCTCTCTCTCTAAAAAAAGGTAGCGGTTCTCCAACATTCTGGCTTTAGGACCTCTTTACATTCTTAAAGATTATTGAGGACCCCAAAGAGCTTTTGTTTATGTGGGTTACATCAATTTGATTGATTTTTTTTTAACAAAGACTTATTTTGGAATAGTTTTAGGATTTCCAGAAGAGTTGCCCAAAAAAGCACAGAGATTCCCATATATAAATATCTACTCTTCATCCAGCTTGCTCAATATTAATATCTCATGCCACCGAGCTCTTTATCAAAACTAAAAAATTTACATTAGGACACTACTATTAACTGATCTGCAGATTCTGTTCTGATTTCACCAGCTTTCCCACCAATGCCCTTTTTTTCTTTATTTCCAGGATCCAATCTGGGATCCCACGTTGCATTTAGTATCTATTAGTAATTAGCATATTAAAAATTAGAAATGAAGAAATCCAAAACTACACATCCATCGATTCATGAACATTACATGTCAATGTAATAACAGACTTCTATGAAAATAACTATAGTTTCTGAAACAAACAAAACAACTCATGAGAAGAGTGTCATTGGTGCACACTGGGACAAATCTCTTTCATGTCTGGCTTAGTAGAAGATGAATTGGTTTCTCATATTTGATTCTGCATTCTATCTGTTGTGATATGACATGTCCCGTAGCTTCTAGAAAACTGCAGGGCTCACTCGTGGGAGGAAGAGGGTAGAAAAGGCAAATAACATCTTGAATTATTGTGAAAACCATTTTGCCTTTGCATGCCTTCCTGAAGATGCCTGGAGGTACCCTCCAGGAGTTCCCTGGATCACACTTTGAGAATTGCTGTGGTAGCAGATTGGGGAGGTGGGGGGAAGTTTGAGGGGCTGGTGAAGGCCCTTGAACTGCAGCCTGAGACTCCACCTTAGGTGGACAAATAGATGCAGATATTCTGCGCTCTGACAGCAGAAGGAAGAAGTCAGCCCTGGCCCTCTGCTGTCCATCCTCAGGTGTGGAGTCTGTCAGAACAGGGGACCCTGCTGGACATTCTGGAAGGCGTCGGGGCCCCCGTGAGCCTGCTGGCCTGGAGTGGGGCCTTGGTGGCTTCTGCTTCCCAGCAGTCCTCGTCTTTCAAAGTCTGGGATCTCACCTACATTCAGAGGCCGAGGGCCTGTACCCCATTTCTGGACCGCACCGGCCTCACTGCAGTGTCACACAATGGAGACTACGTTTACTTCCCCAAGATTGGGGACAAGAACAAAGTCACCATTTGGGATTCGGCGGAAGGTCAGTGAGATATAAGCCTGGTTGTTCATGCGGAGAAGAGCCAGAGCCCCTGTCTTGGTCTGCTTGGGCTACTAGAACCAAACACCACAGACTGGGCAGTTTAAACAATAGACATTTATTTCTCACAGTTCTGGAGGCTGGGAAGGCCAAGGGCAAGGCCAAGGCACTGGCAGATCGGTGTCTGGTGACAGCCGGCTTCCTGGCTGCAGATGGCCCCTTTCCCTTTCTTCTTATGTCCTCACGGAGCATAGAGAAGGAAGCAAGCTCCCTGGTCCCTTGTATAAAGGTGGGGACTCTGCCCTCATGACCTCATCGCCTCCCAACACCATCACATTAGGGGGTAGGATTTCGACATGTGAATATGGGGGGGTCACACTCAGTCCATAAGACCCCCATAACTCCAGTCAGGTTGAAAGTGGCTAACCAGAGATCAGGACTTGCTTTTGTAAATTTTCCAGCATGCGGGTAATCGACCATCCGGTTGTCAATCCCCGGAAGCAGGGCATGTGATGGGGATATTTGCACAAGGGGTGGGTTGAGGGGAGCTCTTGGAGAAACCCAAGAGGGAGTGAGGGAAGCAGGCAGGTGCAGGGGGAGGACTGAACAAGGAGGTGGGCTCAGCCTGATCCCAGGGGGGCCCTGGGGTATAAATTGCAGCTCAGAGTTGTTCCCTTGCGAAGCAAGAGGGCCCATCTTTTGTATCCCCATATCAGGCAGTCACTGGCTGCAGCCCATTCTGGGCGGTGGGCACGATCCCCCAAACATTTTGAGATGAGGGGCTCCCTTCCCCGAGGGCAGTGGGCAGACTAGGGGCTGGGTGCCCTGGCCGGTAACGGGGTTCTGGGCACGTCACCAACTGTGTCTGCTGTAACCTCCACGGGGCAAATGGGGGTACAGAAATTCCTTGTTAATGATAAAATACTATGAGAAAAGAGATTCACTCCCACCTTCCTGCATTCATGGGTTTGGCAGATGTTTGGTTAGTGCCGGCCGTCGAGGCAGGCTCTGGGGTTGGCAGTGAGCAAGATGGATGAGGTTACAACATTTGAGATGCTTGCCTGCTAGTTGTGGGGTGAAGCTGGGCACAAAGGTAGGGGGCACGGTGGGGCGTGAGATACAGGTGCGCCAACTAAAGCCCATTTGTCTACCAGGGTTAAGAGCTTGCCCTCAGAGTTCATACAGCCCACAAGGCAAAATATTTACTCTCTGACCCTCTCGAGACATTTGTAAAGGGAAGGTCTGGGATGAGAGATCATGCATGTCTGTTTGTCCATCTGTCCCGATGGGGAGCGGGAAGTCCTCGGAAGGAGTTAGGCAGGGCGCTGAGGAAATGGGAGGATGGGGGTGGAGGCAGGGGGATTGCAGTGGCACAGTTGGGGAGTATGGATCATGAAAGCAGTTTTTAAAATCCTTAAAAATAAGAAAACTGTGGCACGAGCATTCCCCTGAGCTGTTCTTGACATGGTCTTCTCTTGGTGGCAGGGGAAGAGCAAGATGCCCTGGACACCTCCAGTGAGGTCAGGTGTCTGGAGGTTGCCCAGCAGGCCAATCTCCTTTTCACCGGCCTCGTTTCGGGGGTCGTCCTGGTGTTCCCCCTGAATTCCAGACAGGATGTGATGTGCATCCCCCCTCCCGAGGCCCGGAAAGCCATCAAATGCATGGCCCTAAGTAAAGGCGAGGAGCACCTGGCCATCGCCTATGACAGCATCGTCCTGGTGCTGGACATCAGCCCCGGGGATCCCTGTCCCATCATCAACGGGCCGACCTACACCTTCTACACCCAGCTGCCTGAGACCATATCCAGCGTGGCCGTGCTGGCCGACTACCGCGTGATCTACGGCATGACCAACGGTGACCTCTTCCTTTACGAGTGTGCGAACTCCAAAGTGTTCCCTCTGGAGGCCCACGGGAGCCAGGTCACCTGCATGCAGGTCAGCCACAAGGAGCAGCTCGTGGTCAGTGGGTCCGAGGAAGCCCTGCTGTGTCTCTGGGACCTGCAGGCCTGCAAGTGGAGATTCCAGATGAGCTACACGGTGCGTGGCCTGCACACCACGTGACGCGAGGTCCCGGCGTTAGAAAGCTGAGGACGGGTGTCCTGTATTAAGTGCACACCAAGGACCACAGCCCAGGGTCAGGAGCAGGGTGAGGCCAGTGAGAGACGCTCACCTTGGTAGCAGAGTTTAAGGGGCAGCCAAAAGACTCAGCAATCAAGAGAGATGCTATTTTAATGCAATGTTTACCGAGATCGAAAGAAATGCAAAAAATTCACGAAGAACAAAATATCATCTTTTTAAAGATTTTATTTATTTGTTCAGAGGGAGAAAGAGCAGGGAGGAGGGGCAGAGAGAGAAGCAGCAGGGAGCCCAACGACGCCAGGTTCGATCCCAGGACCCTGAGATCATGACCTGAGCTGAAGGCAGATGCTCAACCGACTGAACCACCCAGGTGCCCCCAAAATATCACTTTATTTATTTTTTAAAGATTTTTTAAAATTTATTTAACAGAGAGAGAGACAGCGAGAGAGGGAACACAAGCAGGGGGAGTGGGAGAGGGAGAAGCAGGCTTCCCGCTGAGCAGGGAGCCCGATGCGGGGCTCGATCCCAGGACCCTGGGATCATGACCTGAGCCGAAGGCAGACGCTTAACGACTGAGTCACCCAGGCGCCCCCCAAAATATCATTTTAAATAAAGATGGGATCAAATCCTGCCCTGGCACACCCCTGCCTCACCCTTCTTACCCTAATCCTGACCCCTGTTCTTGCGTCCGACAGTTTTGATTGCCCGGTCTGTGGCAGGCCCCTTTCTAGCTGTGGCCAGGGCACACACTGTCCTGCCTCTTAGAGCCACGTTCTCGGAGGGGACACAGTGTGAGCTCCAGGAGGGCAGGATCTTTCTGTGTTTTGCTTACAGAGGTGGCCCCCATCCCTAGGGGAGCTCCTGATATGTCCTCAGGGCTCCATAAGTGTTTCTGGAATAAAAACAAAGTAGCAGGACGCCTGGATGGCTCAGTCGGTTAAGCATCCGCCTTCAGCTCAGGTCATGATCTGAGGGTCTTGGGATCGAACCCTGCGTTGGGCTCCCTGCTCAGTGGGGAGTCTGCTTCTCCCTCTGACCCTCTCCTCCACTTGTCCTCTCTCTCTGGCTCTCCCTCTCTCTCTCAAATAAATAATTAAAATCTTTGAAAAAAAATAACATAAAAGAAATAAAAACAAAAACGCAAATACATGATGGGCTGTGGAGTGACAAGAGCTTTGAGAAAAAAACAGGGCAAGGTAAATGGGGTAGAGTGGCAAGGGCTGCTATTTAGGAAGGTCAAGTAAGTCTTGTAGCGCCTTGGCTGGTTCATTCGGTAGAGCATGTGACACTTGATCTCAGGGTAGTGAGTTCGAGCCCCATGTTGGAGGTAGAGATTATAAATAAATAAGCTTTAAAAAATAAAAGACACAGAGATACAGAGATAGAGGGAGCATGAGCAAGGGGAGAGGGAGAAGCAGGCTTCCCACTGAGCAGGGAGCCGGACGTGGGGCTGGATCCCAGGATCCTGGGATCACGACCTGAGCCAAAGGCAGTTGCTTAACCATCTGAGTCACCCAGGTGCCCCTACTTATTTATTTATTTATTTACTTTTAAGTAGGCTCCACACCCAGCAGGGAGCCCAACGTGGGGCTCAAACTCAGGACCGTGAAATCAAGACCTGTGCTGAGATCAAGAGTTGGATGCTTCACTGACTGAGCCACCCAGGCGTGCCCCCCATTTTTGTTTTTAAATAAACTTAAGTTTGGAATGATTTTAGATCTACAAAGAAGTCGTGAAGATAGTACAGAGGTTCCCCTCTACCTCGTCCTCACTCAGCTTCCCCGATGTTAACATCTTATGTAACTTGAGCACATTTGTCAAAACTGAGAAATTACCATGGGTACAGGATTGTTAACTAAGCTACCAACTTCATTGGGAGCATATGTTTTTTTCAGTGAATTTCCTTTTCCTGGTCTAGGATCCAATCTAGGATGCTGTGCTGCATTTAGCATATAGTCTTTAACTAAAGACCATGATAGCTAATGCTTGTAGAATTGAGGTCACTTAGGATATTAAGTCCAATAATTCCTGCTCTCCAGTGCAAATTGTCTGCAAACTTCTCAGTCCAATCCCTGTGAAAGCGTGTTTTGGTCCTGGGAATCTTGATGATGCAATATACCCCATCTCTTCAGGGTTTCATTGGCTCCATCCCCATGGGAGGCTTACATGCCTGGCTTCCCACACAAATGCCTGGTGGTGGGTCTCCTGGGTGTCCCAGTATGAACGCCAGATCACACTGTCTTTTTCTACAGAATTCTTACTGTAGAGGAGTCCAGTGTGTCTGCTTCTCCATGGACGACAAGTATGTGTATGCGGGCTTGAAGGATCGCTCCATCATCGTCTGGAGTGTGCTAGACGGTGAGTCATTTTGCTTTGACAGCAAGACTGAGCTTAGATCTGGAGAAAGAGGCCTTGTGTTGGGCTCTGGATGTTGAAGGGCCCTGCCCTGGCCTTCCCTAGGTGGGGGGAGCTACTTAGAGAGAGGTGTCTGCAGGTCAAGGGGACAGGCCACCCCTGGAACTACATCTCCTCTTCTAGACCCATGCTCTGGGTACCTGGAACCCCAAAACATTCTCCCCACCTGGGATGGTGCCCTTTTTAGGGCCTGGGCAGGCCTCTTCCCCAGGCTTATCCTTCTGAGGGTGGACTGTGCCCCCTATTGTGAGCACCCCTAGACCTGGGGGTTGGCCAAGGGGTGATGAGCGTGGAGTCTGGATGTGTGAGCTGGGTAGGCATTTCGCATGCATATGTGAGGGGCCCTAGAAATGCAGGACAGAGCCGGGTATGGGAAGAGAAGAGGACCAAGCTGCAAAGAGCTGGGGACTGTCTCTCCCACACCATTACATTCTATAATGGAACTGAGAAGCCTGACAATTCTCCACCCAAACATGACCTTCCAGGTGGTTCCAAAGGTACATCCATCAGTGTAGGAGGATAGAGCAAATTTCACTTAATAGTTTATTAGCTAGATTTGCAACATTTACATATTGTGCCTTATAGGATATGGGCCTTGATTCTTTCTCTTGCCCCAGGCCCTGTAAATGATAGGGGCAGCTTGCTTAAGACCAACCACTTTGAAAACCCCACATCTCCTTGTCTGCTCAGTACTACCCTAAAGGCATATTAATGACATTAATTTTTTGTGTACTGGGTACTGTCACTGAGCTGTTTAATTCTCTTGACAGCTACCTCATTTTACAAAGCAAAAACTGAGGCTCTGAGAGATGGGGTGACTTGCCTAAAGTCACACAATGAGTAACTGGTAGGCAGTGGTTCGCAGCTGGTCTGCCTGGTCCCCATGGTCACCTTTGTCACCCTCCTACATGGTCTCCCATAGAGAAAGGACCCCTTATGACACTGGAAGGGGGTAGGTGCCAAAGTGAAGAAGCTGATGTTCAGGGAGGTTAAAAGATTTGTCCAAGGTCACAAAGCAAGTGAGTGAATGAAGATCAGGTAGATTTAATTCACTGTAATCAAACACAATGCACTCAAATACATCGCAGTCTACTACTTCACGGCAAAGATGCCTGGCAAAACGTCACAGACAGCTCAGAAGCTGAGATCTGTGGAGTGTGGCCTTAAAAGCCCATCCCAGGCGGGTTCACAAGCTCTCTTCCTCCTCCTCCTCTACTAATAATATTTACTGAGCTCACTCTGGGCTGAAACCAATACTAAAGCACCTGACACACGAGACCTCTTCAAGTCTTAGAATTCCCCTCTGCAGGTGGGTTTAGTTGTCATCCCCATATTGCAGACGAAGCAAGAGGGACTCCAAGAGCTTAGAATTTGTGCGTAAGCTAGTAAGGGGCATAGGAAGGATTTGACCCCATGCAGCCAACTCTCCAATGGGTGAGATTGGATCTCTGCAGCCCCCACTTTCTCATTAGTGCCCTGCCCTTCACCCCCAAAAGGCACCCTGCTGGCTGTCCAGTTTGTCCACGCTGTGGTGAACAGGATCATCCCAACTTCCAATGGCTTCATCGCCCCCACTAGACACGGCTATCTCATCCGCCAGCGTTTCCAGTGCCCTTCGTCGAGAACGTCACAGCGGGACCCTCTCAAGAACTTCAAGAAGGCAGTGTGGAAGGTCAAATCCAGACAGAGAGAAGAGCTAGCAGCTGCTGCAGGAACACTCCAGGACTTGAGATCAGCAAGTACCCAGGGAAATGTGTGCAAATCAAACAAACACTCACAAGTCTGCCTGCTAGTGTAGAACCCGCCAATGGGAGCATGGGACTCCAGCGAGTTAGCCCCATTCAATCTGGCTGATGCAAAGAGTATGTATGTGTTGCTGTATATCTGGACCCAAAGCCTCAGATTATATGACTCAGACCCTGTTTCTTGCCACCCTTCCATTCTTCTCTCCTTGTTGGCTGCAGTCAAAGACTGGCTACCCCCAGGTTAGGAATATGACAGCCAAGGTCAGTAGAAAAGAGACCTTCTCCTTGCCAGCAGACTGAATCAAAGTGCTGGCCCTGATTCTGTTGGCCCCAGTGGGCTCCTGCACCTGTCTCTGGGAGAATGCAGTGCTGTGATTGGCCAGCCTGACCCAGTGCACGCCAGGGCTGAGGATGGAGTCAATACCACCCACCCATGTTGCCAGAAAATGGGAGAGGCTAATCCCAGGAGGGGAACTGGGCAGTGGGGGTGGGGGGGTGGGTACAAGGCAAAGGGAGGATGGATGGATGTGAGACTGATCAAACCACAGATGTGGACCATAGAGCTTTATAATTTTAAAGCATCAGGTGTTGTTGTCTGATCCTTGTCACAGCCTATACTTCAGGGAGGGCAGGAGTGTCTGCATCCATTTTGCAGACAAGGAAACTGAGCCTTGGTAGGTAGCTGTGATTTGCTCAAGCTCACAAGCCTGAGGTGCAAGAGCTCTGGGAAAAGAGAGCCAGGAGATACCCTGTCCCCATCCTGTTGGACCACCTCCCTCTAATTTTAGTCTCAGAAGCATGACCATTGCACAGGTGACACACTCCAATGCCCATGGGGGCCAGCGAGTAATCTAGATGATTGCCATGCACCAGAGAGCAGCAGAGAATGATGGAGACCATGGGTCGTGTGGAGGATGCGTGCTCTGCCCTGGGTGGACATGGGCACCCTGACTCTAACTCAGAATAGCCATAGGGAAAAAGAGCAAGAGCTCCTTCTTGTTGTAAGCAAAGCCAGAAACCCGGACTTTTATGCAAAATGTTCCCATTTTTTAAAGTTGGCGATTGGCTCAGATTTACATCCACAGGCACATTTAGCCCGTGTGTCTCTAGATCAGGAGCTGATGACTGTCATGACTTCATGACACAAGCCAGCGTGAAAACAATAAACCTGTTTTAAGTTCTTCCATCCCTTCTCCCTGGCTCCCAAACTTTGAGGATAAAGATGCTCTTTTATCTCAAAACCTGGAGGCTCTTGGAAGTGGACAGAAAAACCTAATGACATCTCTTTGCTGAGCTTTTGGACCATCTCTGCTCTCCCCAAGTTCAAAAGAGGAGCTGTTTCTGTTCCACTAAAATGGATCTTGCTTCTTTGCATGCAGCCTTCCAAAAGCCCCCACTTGCTTCTGGGGCTTTCGCTATAAAGATAGGAAAGTCCAAACTTCAAGGTGCTATTCCCTCTCCCCTTTGTTGGATTCCAGAGAGTTTCAGAAAAAGCAACCTTAGAAACAGAGGCTTTGAAGCTAGGTGTGACCCTATTGACTGTCTTCTTCAGTCATTTCCCAAACTAGGGTTCCACAGGGGGCTTTGGCAGTTCTGCAGATGTTAGCATCAAATTCCATTTCGAAAAAATATTTTAAACTGGAATTTTAAAATGCACGGCCAGCTGGGTGAGGCAGCAGGTTTTAAGGTGTTGGAGATAACTAACTTGGGATTCTCCTTCGTTTAACTAAGATTTTGATGGGAGCCCAACTACTCTTTGCCACCACCTTTCTGTGAACCAGGGGCTTTGCCCAATGCAGAAATAAAGTGGATGTTGTAACAGAGTAAGATTTCAGCTACAACTTTGAGTTTAAAATGTGTGTGTCTGTCTCAACAGCCTCAGTGAGAATCCATTGCTTGTACGTAAATACTACTTTGAATATAGGAGAGAAATTTTACTAATAAAAGGCAACTCTGAATTGTTGTTCTATTGGAGTTTTTTGTAATGATTCTCATTTGAGAAAGAGTTCAAGGTTGCTATGAATGTTTGACAAGTGCTGTACTTTAAGGAGGTGTGACTTAGCCGAGGTCCTCCAGCCATGGTGGAACCAGGATGAAAACAAGTTTACCGCAATCCCCACCTTGCTCTCCTACGCTAAACAGGACCATGTAACGTAGCATCCAAACTGGGACACTTTCGAGAGCAAAAGGTGGGGCTTTAAAAGATTACTCCTGACAACTGAAAAAAACTGGATTGTCCCAAGATGATTGGAATATACACCCCTCTAGTTGCAGCAGGAATTAATTTATACGAAATTCCAGAGACTTTTTAAAATTGAGATATAATTAACATACAACGCTGTATCAGTTTCTGGTAAATGACATAATGATTTGATATTTGCATATATTGCAAAACGATCACCACAATAAATCTAGTTAACATCCAGCACCACACAGTTACAATTTTTTTCCTGCGATGAGAACCTTTTTTAAAAAAAGATTTTATTTATTTAAGTAATCTCTACACAATGTAGGGCTTGAACTCATGACCCTGAGATCAAGAGTCATGTGCTTCACCCACTGAGCCAGTCAGGTGCCCCTTGTGATGAGAACTTTTAAGATCTATTCTCTTAGAGACTTTCAAATATACCTTACAGTATTATAAACCACAGTCACCATGCTGGACATGACATCTCCAGGACTTACTTATCTTATAACTGGATTTATCTTATAACCTTTGACCACCTTCACCCATTTTTCCCAGCATCCCTATCTTCGGCCTCCAGTAACCACCCATCTGTTTTCTGTATCTATAAGTCTGGGGTTTATTTTTTAAGTTTTAAGTTTAAATTTATTTTTTAAATTTTACTTTATTTTAAAAGTCTACAAAAAATTAAAAAATAATAGTCTACAGACTTTTTATTTATTCACTTATCCCAACATGAAAATGTTCAGGACCTACAGCCAAGTTGCAGTATGAGGACAATGAACATGCATTTGTTCACCATCAAGACTGAACAACTGTCTTATCACTGTCAATCTTCTGCTAAGACATTTCAAAGTGAGGGCCAGGACTGTGTGTGGACAGTGAGGGACTCATCTCAGGCACAAAGCTTTTTTTTTCTTTTGAGTGAGAGAGAGTGAGAGAGCGAGAGAGCACGAGGGTTGGGGGAGAGGCAGAGGGAGAGAGAAAATCCCAAGCAGGCTCCACACTCCGCATAGAGCCTGACACATGTCTCAATCCCACGAGCCTGAGATCATGACCTGAGCTGAAATCAAGAGTCGGACGCCTAACCAAGTGAGCCACCCAGGCGCCCCTCAGGCACAAGGTTTAAGGGCGCACCAAAAAACTCACAATCAAAGTAAGTAATATTTTATTACTATTCTGAAAAAACTCAAAATGGATAAAAAAATACACATTAAACAAAATATCAACATTTTAAATTAAAGATGGGATCTGACCCTGCACTTGAGTGAACTTGCCTCACTTGCCTCACCCTCATTTCTGCTCTGGTGATGTCAAGACACCTTGCTGCCAAAATACATCAGGAGACATCTTTTCAGGAATAAAGTTATTCTCGGACATAACCACACACCTTTGAAAATGAACAGTTGTTATTTATATTTAATATCCTTCAGTAAGCATCCCTAATTTTCCTAATCAGCCCTAAAACATCTTTTATAGTTGTTTCTTTCAAACTAGGACTTAATCAAGATTTGTTCATGTGTTGCACATGGTTTTCTCTTTTTTTTAAGATTTTATTTATTTATTTATTTATTTATTTATTTATTTATTTGACAGAGAGAGAAATAGCAAGAGCAGGAACACAAGCAGGGGGAGCAGTAGAGGGAGAGGGAGAAGCAGGCTTCTCACTGAGCAGGGAGCCCAATGTGGGGCTGATTCCAGGACCCTGGAACCATGACCTGAACCGAAGGCAGACGCTTAACGACTGAGCCACCCAGGTGCCCCCTTGTTTTGTCTCTTAAATTCTAGAGCAGGCTTGCCACTTGTTTTTGTAAATAAAGTTTTATTGGAACATGGCAACACCCATTCATTTACATATAGCCTATGGCAGCTTTCATTAGTGACGGAATGTATGGTTCCAAAACCCAATCTGGCTCTTTACAGAAAAGTGTGCTGATCCTGGTCTTAAGGCTTGATTAGATTCAGGGTAAAACTTTAACAGATTTTTTTTTTTTTTTAAAGAAGGATAAGAGAGGAGGAAACCTTTTTTTTTTTTTTAAGATTTTATTTATTTGCCAGAGAGAGAGAGAGAACGCGCAAGCACAAGCAGAGGGGGTGGCAGGCAGAGGGGGAGAAGCAGGAAGCCTGATGCGGGACTCGATCCCAGCACCCTGGGATCACGACCTGAGCCGAAGGCAGATGCTTAACGACTGAGCCACCCAGGCGCCCCAACAAACCAACACTTAATACCTAATTTAATAGCCCTTGCCAGGACTGGAATCTTACCAGTCAGTCTGGAATTTCCTGGTCAGCACTAGTGAGGTAATCCACCTGATGGACCCCCTCCATCCCCCAAAGAAAGATAAGATAATCTGTTTTTTCTTGCCCCCTTCTGTCTATAAAATCCTTCCATTTTTTACAGCTCCTTGGTGCTCTTTTCTGTTTGCTAGACAGGATACTGCCCAATTCGTGAATCACTGAATAAAATAAATTTGATCTTTAAATTTACTCAGTTGAATTTTGTTTTTTAACACATCACAATCACAAGGTAAACATTTTTGGCAAGATGACTTCATAAAGGATTAGTTCTACATTGCTGCACAACAAAGTACCTCACACTCAGCAGCCGCATATAACAGCCATGTATGATCTCACAGTTTCTGTGGGTTGCGAGTCCAGGCTCACTGTGGCTGGGTTCTTTGTTCGGGGTCTCACGAGCCGCGCTGGGATCTCATTGAGAGGCTCACAGCCCTCATCCACACTCATTCAGGCTGTTGGCAGCACTGAGCTCCTCATTGCTGCAAGACTGTGGACCTCAGCTCCTAAAGGCTGCCTCTGTCCACAGGCAGGCACAACACAGCTGGTTCCTCTTTTAAGGTCGGCAAGATCCCACCTCTGCTGTTTCAAGGCTTTGACCTCCAGATTGTCTTTCAAAGGATGTCCCTGATTAGGTCAGGCCCACCCAAAATAATCTTCCGGTGAACTCAAAATCAACTCGAGGGACCTTAAACCCACTTGCAAAATCCCTTCACCTTTGCCACATGGTGTAACCTAGTTGCAAAAGTGACATATACTCACTGGTCCTGCCCATACTCCAGGATGGGGGATTAGGCGGGGTACACACACCAGGAGTGAGAATCTTGGGTCCTGCTTTAGAATTCTGCCACAACATGTGATTCTGGACTTTAGAGATTTTGGTCATAATGCTTGCCATCTGGAAAGACTCAGATTAGTTCAAAGTAGGATCCTTTGATCTTGTCTTTTTAACCTTGCCAGAATACTGTCCAAAGAAAGACCTCCCTATGAACTTTACCATAATGCTATCAAGTTTGTGAAATGGTGGGAAATGTGTGTTGGTCCATCTAAACGGTCAACTTTAAGGTTTTTAATTTCATCTGTGTAGATGAAAACAGTAAAGGAAAAAAAACTCAGCATTTTTATCTTTAATAAAAGTAAAAGTGAGAGGGCGCCTGGGTGGCTCAGTCTTTTAGTGTCTGCCTTCGGCTCAGGTCATGGTCCCAGGGTCCTGGGATCAGCCCCACATCGGGCTCCCTGCTCAGTGGGAAGCCTGCTTCTCCTTCTCCCACTCCCCCTTCTTGTGTTCCTGCTCTGGCTATCTCTTTCTCTCTCTCTCTCTCTGTCAAATAAATAAATAAATAAATCTTAAAAAAAATAAAAATAAAAGTGAGAGATGTTTGTGTACTATTGTCTACATGTTGAATGTACGCACGCACACACACCCAAAGGAGAACTGGCTTGTGGTTTCCTGTTCTCCAAATGAGTGAGGGCTTCCTCAGATCGCATGAGACCTGTAAAAAGAATGGAAAACTAAAAGTGATCCTTGAAATGTGAATAGACTCACACTCCTTGGAGGTGGGGAGGCATTGAGTGAGGACCCCGCGGCGTGTCAAAAGCCCACACATACAGTTGGCTTCCAGGACAGTGACAAATAGATTGCCAGGAGGGCACCCATGTGAGAATGACAGTCCAGACATCTGGTGGCCTCAAGGGGTTCAGGCCGCCTTAGCTGAGGTTCATACAGGAATGTGCTGAAACTGAGCTGAATCCCTTTCTGGGCTGGGAGCCATGAATCCTTGAGGCTTTCTTCCTGCTCACCCCCCACATCTACCCAGCGCCATATTCTCTCTGCCTCACCTTCTGAATATCTCTCCCTTCCACCTCCTTCTCTCCACCTCCCCTGCCCCCGCTCCTGGCCTAAGCCACCATCGTCCTTCTAAATGATGAAGCAGCCTCCCTGCACCCTCCCTGGCCGCCCTCCAATCACTTCCCTGCAGAGCAACCAGGGCATTTGCTTCCAAATTCAAAGCTGCTCAAGCAGCTCCTTGCAGAAAACCCATGCATGATTTTTACCGGTGCTAAATGCCAAGACCAGCACATTTATCCTGCACCTCCCTGCCCCCACCACCAACCCCTTACTCTTCTGAAGTCCTACAAACCTGGTGTCTCTGTCTCTCGCTCTTTCTAAGTCCAAATGTACCACCATGCTTCCCATCGAAGGGCCCTCGCACAGCTGTTCTGTCTGACTTTCATGGTGAATGCCTACGCAACCTTTAGAACTCATCTAGAATGCCACCTCCTCCGGGAAGCCTTCCACATCCCCTACTAGCCTGGGTTAAATCCCCGGTGGCAGGTGGTATTTTCCAAAAATGGTCGTGGCAATAGTTCCTGTCCCCTATGCTATTCCAGAACCTGGCCACTCCCCAGGTTCTGGAGTCTGTTTGCCCTCCTTTTGAACTTGGGAGGGACTCTTTTTTTTTTTTTTCTTTAAGATTTATTTATTTGAGAGAGAGAGAGCACAAGCAGGAGACGCAGGGAGAAGGAGAGAGGATCTCAAGTAAACTGCATGCTGAGTGTGGAGCCTAACGTGAGACCCTGAGATCATGACCTGAGTCAAAACCAAGAACTGGACCCTTAACCGACTGCGCCACTCAGATGCCCTGAATTCGGGAGGGACTTCGTAACAGCCACTATGGAAAGACTACCATGGAAATGATTCTGTGTGACTTCTGAGGCTGGATCGGGACAGTGATCCGGCTCCTCTCAGGACAATCGCTCTTAGAACCCAGCTGCCACAATGCTCAGGCTGAAAGGGGAAAGGATGGGACTTCAGGTAGGGAAAGAACAGGGGCCCCAATTAGGCTGGGAGGGTATTTCAGGTATCCAGACACAGGGACAGAACAAAAATAAAGGTAGGAAAGAAAAACCAGAACCCCTGTCCCAACTGCTAGGGGTAACATGTTTTTCTAGTAATTACACTATAACCACAGAAAATAGAAATTAACCACAAAAAGCATCAGGCCTCAAAGGAGAAGTTAACTATAAAGATTAACCAGACCTAGCAAAACATATCTATAGATCACAGATGTCGCAAGAAACAAAGACTCTCACACAATGTATAAGCGTCATGTCTAGTTCCAGATGTGAAGTCCTAATAAAAGGCCAGAGATGAGAAGCCCTCATTGGCAACACTATCTCACTCCTGAGAGCTTTTTCTGTACCTTTGCTTAATAAAACTCAAGCACTTTGCTCACTCTCCTTTGTCCACGAGACTCATTCTTTGACTCCGTGAGACAAGAACCTCGCTCTCCTGCTTCAGGGCTGCATGTGGAGCCCTCAGGTAGGTAGGTGCTCCTGGGAACAGGTTTCCACCTACAGCCAGCAGCAACTGACACACGTGTGAGTGAGTAAACCCTCAGAAGATTCCAGCCCCAGCCTTCCAACCACCCAGCGGACACTGAGGGGCCAGCAATGAGCTGTCCCTGCCCAGCTGCCCAAATTGCAGATTGCAGAGCAAATAAATGTTGCCATTTAATCCTCTAAATCCTTGGGTGGTTTGGTACTTGGCCACAGTAACTGGAACATAGTAAGTGTTAACACTTGCATCTTTTCCTTTACAGTTCAAACTGCATTTTTGTGTATGTGACTATTTGATCCCCATCTTTCTGGAAACACTGAAACCTCTATGAGGGCAAAAGTCTTGCCTGTTTTGTTCACCATTCCAATCCTGACATGGAGCTTGGCAAATGATGCACTCCCTGCCAAGGTATTCTTAGCTTTCCTGCACTTTCTCACATATTTGGTCATTGCTTGAATGTTCATTCATTTGATACATGTTCAGGGATATGGCAGGGATTTGTGTTAGAGTTGAAGCACAAAAATAAGGTGATGTACAGGGGATGGTGGGAAGGCAGAGGAGGGATCAGTTAGGTTGTGTTTTGAAGAATGCATAGGGGTTTTCTGGGTAATGAAGAGATAGGACAGGGCTTCTGACCAGGGAAATGGTGTGTGCTGATGCATGGAGCCAGGAAGCAGCATGGCTGGTCAGGGAGAGAGGGTGGGTGGAAAATTCCGCAACAAAAGGTTTGTAAGGGCCAGGTTCTTGCTGACATAGGAAAGATGTTACGGTTCGAAGCCAACGGCCAAGAAAGATTTCTTGAGACATCTTTGGTGCAAAGAGGTGGTTTTATTAAAGCACGGGGTGGGACCCATAAGCAGAAAGAGCTTCCCCCAGGTCATGAGGAGTGGCCGATTATATATTTCCAGTTTGGGAGGGGATTAGGCATAGTGTAAGTCTCTAAGGAATTTTGGGAGCAAGGTTTCCAGGACCTTGAGGGGTCTAGCTATTGCTGGGAAAGTCATTTATTACATCTAATAAAACCTGAGTCACGAGACCCTTCAGATGTATATCGGTGGTTCATATGCTTGGGGGATGACTGCCAACATATATCTTGGGGGGTAGAGATAAAGGAAGTTTCCAAAGGAATTTTTATATGTTAAAGTAGACTTACAGGATCCTGGGAGTCGGGCTAAGATTGCTTTTTGCCCCGAACAAAGTATTAACATTAAGGCAGTTGAGTCCCTAGGGAAAGGTCACTCTGCCTGTTTCAAGGACTTGTCAATGGGCTGGGTTAGAGAAATTTAATAATTTTTCTTCTTAAGAGGCTCCTGAACTGGTCCACTGGGCAAATGATGCGATCAGGGTTAGGGAAGTGAAGAGAGAAGGGGAACTAAGTCAACAGCCAGTTAGCAAAAATGCACTTCGAAAAGCCCCCTGTGGTGCTGTGCGCCCTTGGCCCATTGTCTCATCAACCCTATAAAGCAGGGGTCCACAAATATTTTTTAGTAAATATATCAGGATCTGTCACAGCTACTCACCTTGCTGTCGTGGCACAAAAGTAACCACAGATGATAGGTACACGAGTGGGTGTGCCTGTGTTCCAGTAAAATTTTATTTTACAGACACTGAAATTTGAATTTCAGAAATTTCACGTGTCACAAAATAGTCTTCTTTTTTGGAAAATTTTCCAACTTTAAAAAATGTGAAGACCATTACGAATTCGCTAGTGGAGCCGGACAAAAGCAAACGCCAGGTCTCGGTTTGCTCATTCGCACTATATAAGGCATTGGTTAGCTTTTCGATTTCGGGAATAACAGCCCGGAGCAAGTCCTTCAAGGAGCCACGCCCCTCGTGACATCATCAAGCACCGCCCCCTGAGGGGCGGAGCCCGCGCATGCGCGGCCGGCCCTCGGGCGGGGGCGGGGCGGACCGCGGCTCTGACTTCCAACATGGCGCATGCTGGCGGCGGCAGCAGCGGCGGCGGCGGGGGCCCCGCGGGCCGGGGGCTGAGCGGCGCCCGCTGGGGTCGCTCGGGCTCCGCGGGTCACGAGAAGCTGCCGGTGCACGTGAGTGCTGCCTTCACCCTCTTTCGGGAACCCTGTCGTCCGGCTCCCGCGGGCCAAAGCCCCTCGCCCGGGCCCCACCCGGCCCCGCCTGGGCCTCCACTCCGCACGGCCCCGGACCCCAGTCCCCTGACCCCTTACCTCGGCTCCTCGGAGGCTCGGCCCGTCCCCCTCCCCGCCAGGGACCCTTGTCCTCCGTCCCCTCCTCCGCCGACCCCCGCCCACCGGGACCGTCCACCTCCCTGCAGGTGGAGGACGCCCTCACCTACCTGGACCAGGTGAAGATCCGCTTCGGCAGCGACCCTGCCACCTACAACGGCTTCCTGGAGATCATGAAGGAGTTCAAAAGCCAGAGGTACCCGCGGGACCCCTCCCTACCCCGGGGGGTCCGTCCTGGGCCGCGATCTGGCTGAGCGGGGTGGGAACCCCCCATCCCGGCTGCCTCTCCGCCCCAGTCGGGTGACCTTGCGCAGGTCGTGGAACCTCTCAGATCTCAGAGCCTCAGTTCCTTCTAAAAAACGGGAGTGGAGAGTACCCCCCTGTGGAGCTGTTGTGGGGATTCCTGGAAGGAGAGCAGGGATGGGGTGAGGAGAGAGCAAGAGAGAGAAGTCTTCAAGTGCGAGAGTCCGGTCTTGTCTTTACTCAAAATGATTTTTAAATGAATTCTGTTCACCAAAGATTTTTTTTTTAATTAATTTTTTTAAGCACTACATTAAAATGTTATTTGTCTCGGTTATTGAATGTTTTGGCACCCTCTCCCCCTTAAATCTTGTCACCAAGGTGAGTGCCTCACCCGGTGGTGGCACCCTAGTCCCAGGCCTGTTGGTCAGTAAATGTGCATAAAATGCTTTGTAAGGGGCCTGGCACATAGAAGGGGTTTAAAACACATTGGCTGATTTTGTAGGCACACAGGAGGGTTAGAGCTAGATGGAGGACCTGGAGATCATGCCATCCTCCAACAGGAGGCTCACTTAGGCTTAGAGTGGGCCAGGGGCTTGCCTAGACCAACCTTAGGGGCAGTCAGGACTAGAACGTGGGCACTCTGACTCTTAGATTCTCAGTGGTCACGTCTCCACCAGGCTGCTTACTCCTTCTGAAGAAATGTGGCAGGGCTGGCCTGGTTTCCTTCCAGGAGAGACAAGGTAAAGCCTTGAGGGGGGCCCCCCCACCAGCCATGAGGGAGACCCCTGGCTTTGTGCAACTCATACGTGCAGGGCCTTTGGTATTCATGCCTTGCCATCACTTGGCTGGGATCAACACCCGTGTCATGGTTCGTCACATTGCTTAGATGGCTGTGGCTTCCTGCCACTGCTTGGAGTCCCGGACTTTCATCGGCTCTCCTGACATTTTCAGAACCGAGTGCATGTGTGCTTGGAGTGTTTAGGGGAGCTGTGCCATGCAAATATCCTGTGGTTCTCGCTAGCAGGGCGCAGGGAGCCCGAGCCTTGCTGCCATGGAAGTAGATGACACGTGACACATTGGCTGAATCACACTGATCACATTGCAGGGTGCTTCGTTGTCCTTCGAGAAGCTCATTAGGTGGCACTGTCAAGCGAGTTGAGAGCAGATTTCACTTTCCTTGTGCTCCCCAGGACACTTCTGCCCACTCTCAATCTTTTTTCTTCCAGCATCGATACGCCTGGAGTCATCCGACGCGTGTCGCAGCTCTTCCACGAACACCCTGACCTCATTGTTGGATTCAACGCTTTCCTTCCCCTCGGGTACAGAATAGACATTCCCAAGAACGGCAAGTTAAACATACAGTCGCCTCTGTCCAGCCAGGTATGCCGCTCTGGTGTTCCAAGTGATCTGGCCCTAACACGGCGCGCCCTGGTACTCAGGTACCCAGGTCAGGCAGCTCGTTTTGTGCATCTTGTTGCTGGAAAGCCAGCGAAGATCCAGTCTTTTTCTAGACACTCTGCTCCCTTCTAGCACAAGTCAAAATAGATCAGAATCCCTACCCAGCCAGCCTCTTTATCCCACATCGATCCATTTGGAGGATTCAGATCAAGAGTGGATGTGGTTGTTTGTGTCAGGGGCATTCTCTTAACAGTTCTGTGTCCTGTCAAAATAACCGCCCACCAGCACCAGGCTCTTATTACCCTGAGGCTCTCCCCGTGAGCTCGCAGGGCAGGCACACTTGTACTCAGGCATGGGGTCTCTCTGATCATCCCAGGTGCCAGCCACAAAATAAAGCAGTTGAGATGTGTGTGGGAATAGCCATTTTGTTGTTGCTGGGCCGCATTTCATTGCCACCAGGGTCGTTGGCTCAGCTTAGGCTTGTGGCTTTGGTTCCTTCTGTCTCGGGCGGTGGCTTGCTGCCTCTGTCTTTGTGGTCCCTTCTTGCCCGAGCCCATCAGACCCCCTGAGAAAATGAAAGTCTATGTGAGCTTTACTCTTATAAAGTAGCCATTGCCTTTTCTCCACCTTGGCCCCATTGCTGTGATACCGTGCTGCGGGGGACCCTCCAGTGCATCTGGAGATGTTTAGCAGCATCCCTGACTCCGCCCACAAGGCCCTCACCCCGTGGGGATAGGCGACAGCTGAAAGCGTCCCCAGACATTGCCAGATGACTCCTGGGAGCCACATGGCTCCCCCATCAAGAACCCCTGATCTCCGTGAACCAGCTCTTTTAAGGCTCTTCTGTCTCTGCCCCAGGGCTTTGGGTTTTAGCGGGGAAATATAAAAACCTACCCTGGAAAGCATTCTTTCGGTTCCGCCTCTGATGACAGAGATTGCAGTTTCGTATCAATGCAGGAGTCAGATTTGGAAGAACAGCCAGAGGCAGTGTGACAGTGACCTCCCTCTCTGAGAGGGACCCCCATGTAAATTCTGCCTTCTTTCTATGCAAGGCAAGCTCCACCACCAGCATGTTGCCTCATTAAAGCCAAGGAGAGCGTCTCCGTTTTGAAAAGGAACTCGGATGCGCATGGCCGCTGAACTCCAAAGAGCTTCTTCCATTTCACAGTTACAAATGGAGCTCGATCCAGATGTAGGGCTCGTTGCTCCAGATGATCACAAGCCTTAGCGAGATTCATCTGCAGAACCATCGAGGCTGGGAAGAAGAGCAGCCTCATTTGCAGCGGTGCGCAGGGGAGCACTTGGACGCGTCTGGACATGGGTGTGTCGTGACCGTCACTCCCTAAGAAAGAGCTGAGGTCAAAGACCTCAGTTATGAAAATTGCCTTTCTCAATACCCGACTGTTGGAGTAACTCGGCTTGTAGGGCTGGATCTCGATGCGAACTGCACTGTGGTTACATTAGGAGGTGGCCCTTCCGGTCAGTAGCCACAAGGCCCCTGCTGTTGTGCTCACTCCACGGAGAGGTGCTGTGGACATAGCAAGACCGGACCAGCCCTGTCTCCCCCTGACTTCACAGCTACTATTTAACCTGGCTTTATGGTCTTGCTAAAGCCCTGAAGCCACGACATCTAGGGCCCCCTTCTTCCACTGCCCACTGCGTTTCTGTCCGCATCGATTGACCTGCCGGGTTTCCTGCCCTGCTTTTCAGAGCTCCTGGCAGGCATAGGCGGGATGGCCTGTTGGCGTCCTGGAGTCCTTTGAGAGGCCACGGTAGCCCGAGAACTTCTCAGGGCTCCCTACGTGCCACACCTTGGTGATTTTTTGTTTTACTGGTTTTTCTAGCTTTCGTGTTTTGAAGGAGCACCTTCATTTTTTTGTCATTTCTCATCTCTTGAGTCCTGTCAACTCCAGGCAGGGAGGGAGTAGCTCTGAGGTGCTGAGGAAGGGAAAACAGGGGAGTCCCAGGCTGTGGGGAGCCCTTGGTGCAGGTTTCTCAGCCTTGGCCCAATTGCCTTGGGACCAGATTGTTCTTTTCTGGAGCAGGCTGTCCTGTGCACTCTACGGGGCTGAGCAGCATCCCCGGCCTCCACCCTCCACCATGTGACAACCTAGAAGTATCTCCGTGTGTCGCTAAGTGCCCCCTGGGTGACAGAATCGGCCTCACTGAGAACACAGGTCTAAGAGGAAGATGGGCAAACAGGCCCTGAAAGCATGGTGGGAAGAATGTCCCCTTGCTGGGGCTACAGCCTCCTGAGTCAGCAGCATGTTGGAGCTGGTCATCGGGCCTCAGTTTTAGCATCCCTCCCCAGAGAGCTCTCTACTCCCATCCCTGGGTCATACTCATGCCACCCCATTTTATATATTGTAAAATTGCAAAGCCAGGGTTTGAAATTAGAAATCCAATGTGTCTTGGTCTGCCTTGCCTGGCAGACTGAGTCCAGATCAGGCAGGACCCTTGTCTGTCTGGTTCACGACTGTGTCCCTGTCCCAGGGCCATGCCGGGCACGTGTTGGAGGAGCAAGACACCTTGTGTTGTTGGGAAGGTGATGAATCTCAGCTCCCAGGTTCCGTTCAGAGCCACCCCTGCCTCCTGGGAGCCAGCCCCTTTAGGGCCGGCTAGACGAACAGCCGGCTTGAACACAGATGAAGGTTAAACCTTTAGCTCGTCCAGTAAGTGGCACGTTTACATACAGAGGCAGGCCTGCCGTGTTCTCTCTCTGGGGGAGGGTCATCTGGAAGTTCAGTGCGTCCCTAGTGGGTCGCCTCTCATATTTGTGTCTTAGTCACCCACGGAGCAGGTGTCGACCACCTCCTCTGTGCCAGGCGCTGGGGTTTATTCAGAATCTGCTCTTGGGGCACTCGCAAGATATGGGTGGACAGATGAGAAATACGTGAAGGACTTTAGCACTGTGAGTGAAGCCCAGGCAGGGCATGAGGGGCCGTGGGCAGAGGCCACGAGAGAGATCAGGAACCCTGCCTGTGTCTTGGGGCGGGGGTTTCCCAGGCCAGGTCTAAAGGCCTGAGGTGGCAAAATGAGTGGTTGTGCTTGAGAAACAGCCAGGGAGCCTGAGAGGTGGGGAGGTAAGTGGGTGGGGGGAGAGAGTCAGGAGCATGGCGAACCCATGGAGAGTTCCAGGAAGGCGGCTCTGGCTGTGGTGCCAGAAGTGGACTCTACGGGGGGGGGGGGGGGGCGGTGATCCAGGCAGAGTGGGCTGTGATGTGGACCGGGGGCGGGGAGTCAGAGTGGGAAGTCCAAGGAGATTCCAGGATACCTCAGCCTCTGGGTGAAGGTGGCAGCACCTGCTAGGTTGAGGGGGGCCTGGGAACAGTGGGGGCGGCAGGGGTGCTGCTCTGCGTGTGGAATGTGCTGTTTGATGAGGTGTCTCGTAGATACCCAGGTGGGGCTATGCAGGGCTGCTCATCGGTGTCTAGGAGTATACCTGATTGTGCCTGGATTAGGCCACCCAGAGCAGTCACAGAAAAGAAAAACCTGGATTGTTCTGGAAGGTTTAGAGCAGGGGTTGGCCCAGGATCCAAAGCCAGCTTGTATTTGTATGGAGAGTGGTTTTTACATTTTCCAGAGATTACATTAAAAAATGTTTTTTAAATTGTGTCAGTATTCACATTAACATAAATTCACTTTTTGTAACTAAAGTATACAATTCGGCAGGTTGACGCATATTTACAGTGTCTTACAATACCTCCCCCCATTCCAGAACATTTTATCACCCCAGAAAGAAACCATATCGCACAGTTCTCCTCTCCCACCAGCCCCTGGCAACCACTAATCCACTTTGTCTCTGCAGATTTGCCTGTTCTGGACATTTCGTTTCAGTGGAATCATATGTAACTTCTTATGTCTGGCTTCTTCCACCCAGCACTACAGTGTCGAAGTTCATCCTCACCTTAGCCTGTGTCAGAGCTACATTCCTTTCTGTAGTTGAAGAATATTCCATCGTAGGGATGTGCCACGTGTGTTAATCCATTACTGCTTGGTAGACGTTTGGGTCGTTTGCACGTCTGTTTGCGATTCTTGGGTCGATACCTAGAAGTGGAGTTGCTGGGTCACGTGGTAACTATGTTTAACTTAGGAACTGCCAGGCTGTTGGCTTCAGCAGCTGCACCATTACTGTCTAGCCCTCTTTGCCAAGCCCTGGTCTTGAGGAGGGTTCTCCGTCTTGTCCCTGCACCTCCGTCCAGGGCATGGGAAGGGGTACACGGAGCTTGAAAATGCCCCCGAGGAGCGGTGGGGAGCTCCGACAAGCTCACAGCCTCCTCTGAAGCAAATCTCCGCTCCCAGGCTGCTCCCTCCCCCGCCTCTCCCTGGCTCCTTCTAGGTCCTTCCACTGCCAGGCCAGCACACCTGGAAGGAATGTGGTAATCAGCAAGAGAGCCCCCAGAGGGCCTTAGGATGCCTCCCACTGCCAGGGAGAGGTGGTATTTAGAATTGTGGCTGCTGTGGGTCTTTTGTGTGTCTGCTTGTCTCAGCTCGGACTTTTCTAGAGTTGCCCCTCACCCACAGTCTGGGCTGAATTGTGTCCCCACCCCAGTTCATATGTTGAAGTTCTAACCCTTAGTACTCAGAATGTGACTGTTTTTAGAGACCTTTACAGAGGTAATTATGGTAAACTGAGGCCCTTAGGGTGTCCCTGATCCAGTCTGACTGGTGTCCTTATAAGAAGAGGACATTTGGACCCGCGGAGCGACCCCCACACAGGGCCGATCATGTGAGGACACAGCGAGAAGATGGGCCACCCACGAGCCAAGACGCCTCCGGAGATACCGCCTCTGCTGAACCTTGATCTTGGGCTTCAGCCTCCAGGACTGTGAGGAAACACATTTCTGTTGTGTAAGCTGCCCAGTCTGCGGAGTTAAGGCCGCCCAAGCGGAGTAGCACAGCCCCACCCCGATGAGAGCGAGCGTGCCCAGCAGGCGCATCCTTCCCGGTGACGGCTCTGCAGCTTTGTGCCCAGCATCCCCCATCCCGCTGGAGTCTTCAGGTCCGCGGTTGGTGCCCTGTGTCAAGGGGGATGGAAACACCGGGTGTTTGTTCCTTCATCTGGTCGTCTGAGTATTCCCAACAGTGGGCGGAGCCCATTCTGTTCCAGGTACTGTTCAGGCACTTGGGCTGTGGCGGTGAACAATGTGGACTGTCTGCCCTCAGGGCGTTTGCCATCTGGTCAGGGGTGGACAGACGGAAAAATAAGTAAAATATGTGTGTGTCGGAAGGTGACACGTGCCACGGAGGAAAATAGAGCAAGAAAGGGGCTCAGAGTGCTGGGAGACAGAGGCCATTTTGGTTTGGCGCTGGGTGGTTCTGGAAGACTTGCTGAGAAGGTGTCTTCTAACAGATGCTTGGAGCTGCGCTGGAGGGTTCGAGACCTGCTCGAGAACCAGCCCCAGTGTGCGTCGGACCTGCGGGATGCCCGGGGGTTCGCCCCTGCCATCCCAGTCGTGGTTTGTGGGGAATCATCAGAACCATGCATAAAATATCAGTTTAGAAACATAAACATCTCCTCCTTTGGGGGGGTGGGTCAGTCCCACCCCAAATCAGGATTCTGGGTGCCCAGGAGAGGGACGTGTGTGTCTGTTTTCTATTTTTATTTGTATGGACAGAAAAGCCTACAGATGGAGGGCAAACATGATGACCGGTCAGGGCCTGTCTCTTCTCTCAAGTGACATAACCCCGGCTTAGCACCAAGAGTCCTGCGGTCCTGGACAACCTGGGCGGTGGGCCCCCCTTACCTCCAGGGTCCCCACGTTCCCAGCACCGCTGACAGCAGGTGCTTTCATGCCTCAAAACAGTCTTGCTGAAATGGGCTGGCAGGAGGTGTGGAAGGCTTCTTTTGTAAACACAGCCCCAAACTCCACTCCAGAGGGGATTAAACAATCCACTTTTCATATATTTCTCCCGTATGCTCATTTTTCAAGGTGTTGGGTATCCATCAAACTCCATGCTCTTTGATCAGGTGGAGGTGGGTTCATGAGACACACCCAGGACGGTGCAGACGCACAGCGTGGTGAGGGAGGAATTACCTGCCTGTGCGTGCCCACCCACCACTTCCTTGCCTCCAGGCCCCCACAAGGAACGTTCTCCTGCATCTCATTAAAAACCTTGGCTCTGTGCTGGGTATTGCTTGGTCTGACAGACCGTGGCTCTGTCTGGAGCTTCTCACATCTGTTCGCGGGGTCAGGCCTGCCAGTAACTCACTGTCGTGCTGTTGTCAGGAGAATTCGCACAACCACAGCGACTGTGCAGAGAACTTCAAGCCACAGATGCTGTATAAGGAGGACAAGCCGCAGGTGCCCTTGGAGTCAGATTCCGTGGAGTTCAACAACGCCATCAGCTACGTGAACAAGATTAAGACCCGTTTTCTGGACCACCCAGAGATCTACAGGTCATTCCTGGAGATCCTGCACACTTACCAGGTAAGAGGCCTCACGTCACACTGGGCGGGTGCTGGTGGTGCCATCCCATTCTTCAGGGTGCGTCTTGAGGCAGTCATATTTTCTGGTCTGAATTCAGGAAATCCTGTACAATTCCGATGTGCTTTTTTTTCTTTTTACCTAAAACCTACCATTTTAACCCTTTTTAAGTGTCCAGTTCCATGGCATTAAGTACATTCATGTTGTGCAGCCTTCCCCGCCATCCATCCCCAGAACTTGTTCATCATGCAAAACCGAGATTCTGTCCCCGTGGAACAGTAACTCCCCCAGCCCCTGGCGCCCGCCATCCCACTTCCTGTCTCTGTCAGTTTGACAACTCGAGGGACCGCCTATAAGCGGGATTGTACAGTACTTGTCCTTTTGTGTCTGGCTTCTTTTCGCTCACTGTGATGTCCTCAGGGTTCATCCATGTTGTAGCCTGGGTCAGAACTTCCCTCCTTTTTAAGGCTGGAGAACATGGCATGGATGCACCACTTGGGTTTATCCGTTCATCCATTGATGGGCACCAGGGTTGCTCCCATGTTTCTGGCCCTTGTGAATAATGCTGCCGTGAACACGGGCATCCAGATACCTGTTGGAGTTGTTAGGATTTTAATTTGCTCCTTGAGGCACCTCTATATCCCAGGGAGTACTAGGAAACACACAGTACGGGGATTTAAAAAGAACCTAAGAAGATGGTCTTCTTTTTTAAGACTGCTTCGCTAGTGTTTTGCCAACACAGCTACGCTCTGTTGATGCAGATTACAAGTGGATTACAAGTGGGCCCTGTGCCAGGCAGCGGGGCAGCAAAGATGCATGGCTGCTGCTTAGTTCAGTCTGGAGGTGGACGAGACTTAGAGAGGGATGGGGTGGGGAGAAAGGGAAGCATGTAGAAGTGTGTCTGGATTCACAGTTGCCAACCCTGACCGGGGGCTGGGGCGGCGGGGGGGTGTCAGGAAGGGCAGATTTAGCTTGAATCCTGAGAAATCAGTCAGAACCACCAGGCAAATGAGTATAGACAAAGGGTGGACTTTCTCAGTGCTGGGAACAGCCCATGCAAAGTCCCGGGGGTCAGGGCAGTCAGCCAGGCTCAGGGGACCTGAGGAAGGGGAGGGGTCAGACAGCAAGGGCTCTGGACGGGTCGTCTCCTTCCCTTCACACCACGGAGTGGGAATCTGGAGCTATGCGCTTTGAGAGAACCCCAGCTCTGCCACCTGCTCTGTCACGCTCTCGGGTGTAAAGTTGACAGGGAGTTACTTCTAACGGCCGTCCTGAGTCCTGCTTCCTGAGTTCCTGCCCTCCTGACCCGGGTCCCCTTCGGTCCTCATCTTGTTGCTTTAAGCTCTGGATTAGGCCATCTTCCTTCAACTCTCGGGGTCTTTCTGACTCGGTGGAATGGTCCCTTGCCCCGGTAGTCCCTTTCCTTCCTTTCACCCTGTTCCCTGTTTCCAAGGCCCAGCGCCAGCCCCACACTCCCTGCCCCCTGTCCATGGGTTCGTCCCTGACCTTGTACTTCCCGGGCCTCTGGTTGAGGACACGTAAGGACTGAGGCCAGATCATTCCGTGATTGTGCTCCTGCCCACATCCCCTCTACACTGCCACGTAAGCTCCATCCCTGGCCAGGGTTCAGGCTGTGTTGTGGGGTGGGGCAAGGACAGAGGCATGCAGGGTACCCCGAGTTGTTAACAGGGTGGTGGACTGGGTTCCCTTCTCCCAGTGGTGGTAGGCATGGGCTCTGCCAGCCGGTTCTCTGTTTCGTGAGTCGTCCCTCTGTCTCCTCCACAGTGGGATGCCTGAATGTCACAGCCTGGGGTGCCTCGTTCCTTGGCTAACGACTCATTTTCCCTTTCCCGAAAATCGGCAGAAGGAGCAGCTGAGCACAAAGGGCCGGCCATTCCGCGGCATGTCTGAGGAGGAGGTGTTTACCGAGGTGGCCAACCTCTTCCGGGGCCAGGAGGACCTGCTGTCCGAGTTTGGACAGTTCCTGCCTGAAGCCAAGCGGTCCCTGGTGAGTACGGGGTGCCCACCCTGGCCCGAGGGCCACCTTGCTCTCAGCTGGGACCCTGTTTCTCAGTGCAGCCCCGAAGACCAGGCTGGGCTGATCTGTCCTCCGGGGACACGCCGGGTTCTCCCAGAAGCCACACAGCATGCAGGCACCCCTAGGCCCCCGTGCAGGCTCACCTCCACATCCTGCTGGAGCAGATCCTAAGCAGGGCCTCTCTTATAGAACAGTGCCCGGGGGGTGAGGGCCGGTTGGGAGGTGGAGAGCATCCTGCTGTGGAGACCTGCTTGTGGCCAGTGCCCTGTAGGAAGGTGCCAGTGGGGGCAGTCTGAGGCTTGGCAGTGACTGTGGGCTGGGGGGTGGAGGGCGGAGAAGGGTGAGGAGGGGCCTGGGATGGGGAGGTTGGGGGTGCAGCCTGCACCATCAGCCTTGTTCCTCCCGTCACTGCCTGAGGCCTGCTGGGTTGCGCTTTCCATATCTTCTTTTCATTGTATTTTCTATGAACGTAAGACTTCCTTAAAAATTGAAGATTCACATAACATTAAATACACCATTAAAGTATACAGTTCAGTGGCATTTGGTACATTCACCGTGTTCTGCAACCAGCTCTTCTGTCTAGTTCCAGAACATTCTCATCACCACAGAGGAGACCCCGTCCCCACGGGCAGCCACTCCCCATTCCCCCTCCCCGAGCCCCTGGCAGCCACAAATCTGCGTCTGTCTCTGTAGATTGACCTGTTCTACACATTTCATATACATGGGATCCTACGCCATGTGGCCTTTAGTGTCTGGCTTTCGCTCAGCATGATCTTTTTGAGGTTCATTCACATCATAGTGTGCGTCAGTATTTCATTCTTTTTTGTGGCTGAGTCATACCCTGTTGTGTAGATGAACCACATTTTGCTTATCCAGCCATCTGTTAGCGGACATTTGGGTTGTTTCTTTTTGGTGATTGTGAATGATGCTGCTATGAACATGCGTGCAGAAGGATTTGTTTGAGTCCCTGTTTTCAATTCTTTGGGGTCTATACCTGGGAGTGGAATTGCTGAGTCATATGGTGACTCTGTGTTTCACTTTTTGAGGGACTACCAGACTGTTTTTCACAGCAGCTGTACCATCTTCTCTTCTCACTAGCAGGGTACTTCACACTGTCACCAACACTTGGTGTTTCATTTTCTTTTTAAATTATGATCTAGTCATTGTGAAGTTGTATCTCATTGTGGTTTTGCTTTCCATTTCCCTGATGACTAATGATACTGAGCATCTTATGTGCCTCTTGGCCATTTGGTTTTTTTCTTTTCTTTTTTTTTTTTAAAGATTTTATTTATTTATTTGACAGAGACACAGCGAGAGAAGGAACACAAGCAGGGGGAGTGGGAGAGGGAAAAGCAGGCTTCCCGCTGAGCAGGGAGCCCGGCAAGGGGCTCAATCCCAGGATCAAGGCAGACGAAGGCAGACGCTTAACCAACTGAGCCACCCAGGCACCCCTGGTACCTTTTTTTTTTTTTAAAGATTTTATTTATTTATTTGACAGAGACAGAGACAGCGAGAGCAGGAACACAAGCAGGGGGAGTGGGAGAGGGAGAAGCAGGCTTCCCACCGAGCAGGGACCCTGATGTGGGACTCAATCTCAGGACCCTGGGATCATGACCTGAGCCAAAGGCAGACATTTAACGACTGAGCCACCCAGGCGCCCCACCTGTTGGCCATTTGTATATCTTCTTTAGAGAAATGTCTAAGTCCTTTGCCCATTTTTTAGTTTGTCCTTTATTATTCAGCTGTTAAGGGTTTTTTATATATATATTCTGGATACTAGGCCCTTATTAAAAATTTTTCTTCTTTTTTAGGTTGTCTTTTCACTTTGTCAGTGTCCTTTAGTGCACACAGGTTTTTAGTTCTGATCAAATCCAATTAATCTATTTTTTCTTGTGTTGCTCATGCTTTTAGTGTCTCAGAATCTATGCCAGATCCGAGGACAGGAAGGTTTCTCTTTGTATTTTCCTCTAAAAGTTTCTATAATTTTAGCTTTCATAGTTAGATCATTGATGCATTTTGAGTTAATTTTTTTTTTATATGGTGTGAGGTAGGGATCCAACTTGGGGGATCCCTTGGGTAGGGATCCATTTTGTTAGTGGAGATCCAGTTTTCCCAGCACCGTTTATTGAAGCGACTTTTCTGTTCCCATTGAATGGTCCTGGCACCCTTGTTGAAAACCAGTTGGCCATAGTTGTATGGATTTATTTCTGGACTGTTCAATTCCAGTCCATTGATCCCCCACGTCTCTTCTTAGGCCAGGAACCATACTGTCTTGATTACTATAACCTTGTCATAAGTTTGAAATGAAGAAGTGATTTGAATTGTGTTCTTTTTGAAGATTATTTTGGCTAGTCAGAGCCCTTTGGAATTCCATATAAATTTGAAGATCAGCTTTTCCATTTCTGCAAAAAAAGGGAAAAAAGCCATTGGGATTTTGATAGGGATTGCATTGAATCTTTAGATTGCTTTGGGGAATATTGCCATTTTGATAATGTTAAGTCTTCTGGTCCGTGAACATGAGGCATCTTTGCATTTATTTAAATCTTCCTTAGTTTCTTTCAGCAACATTTTGTGGGTTTTGATGTACATGTCTTGCACCTCCTATTTAAATATATCCCCAAATATCTTATTCTTTTTTTTTTAATTTCATTTTTGGATTGTGGGTCATGAGTGTATACAAATACCACTGATTTTTGTGTGTGGTTTGTGTTTCCTGCAACTTTGCTGAGTCTGTTTATCAGCTTTAATAGTCTTTGTATATTCACTAGGATTTTTTATATGCATGTTACCATGCCATCCACTAATAGAGATGATTTTCCTTCTTTTCCAATCTGAATGCCTTTTAGTTCTTTTTTTTGGCCCAATTGCTGTGGTAGAGCCTCTAGTACTGAGTTGAGTAGAAGTGGTGAGAGGAGGCACCCTTGTCTTGTTCCTGATCTTACAGGAAAAGCTTTCCATTTTGCACCTGAGTGTGCTGGGAGCTGGGGGCTTTTCATAAGTAAATACCCCTTAATCAGATTGAAGAAACACCCTTCTATTCCTAGTTTGTTGACTGTTCCTTTTCCTCTTTTTGTTCTTCTCTGCTTCGGATGGTGACTTGGGGCCTGCGCACACGAGAGGGCCCCCCCCCCCCGCACTGAAGTGCATCACTACCACCTCTCCTGGGTCCTGCTTCTAAAGGAAGATGCAGTGGGGGGCAGGGCTGGGGGGCAGCAGTCTTGAAGTGGGAGGGGCTTGGTGGGGTGGGTACAGGGGTCTGGGTTTGGGTACCACCAAGAGTCACATGGCCTTCCAGCGCCCATGAGTGCCACCTCAGAGTCGGGATGCCACCTGGAAGCACTTCCTGAGTCAAAGTCAGAGAAGCTCTGTGCCTCTCTGTGGGGTTGACGTCAGGTCCTAGAGCTGTCGCCTGTCCTTCACCCTGCCTTGAGCTTTGGGTGTCCTCAGGGGCTAGAGGGCTAGGCAGAGCCCTGGGAGCACACAGTCCAGGTCGAGACGCTCACTCCATGTCTGCAGGCGCTCAGGAGGGCTTGAGCCAACAACCTGACTCACCTCCCGGGCCTGGTTGCCTTCTCTCTCACACGGGGATGAAGGCCTTCCTGCTCAGACTTGGCGAGCCAGCATCCTCTTAAGTGCTTTGCGCTCAACCCAGCACAGGTGCAGTGCTCTGGAAAGAAGAGCTGGGATTGTTCAGGAAAAGCAGGCAGAGGATCCAGATGGATTGTCCCCGCCCCCTCCCTGTGCCAACGTCTTCTGTCCCCCCTGCCCTCCCCCCGAGTGTCCACCCAGGCGGCAGGGCCTCCCCCTGCCTCCCCAGGACCAACCAGCCTGCTGCCGGGCCTGCGGGAGGCCCCTGGGGAGGGCTGAACAAGGTGCTCCTGTGGAGTTCCTGACCCCGTCCCTGGGGGGACAGGGAGCTCACCTGCACCAAAGGCAGCTGCACTCCCAGCTGAGCCCACCCCCTCGCGCCCCCACCCGCACGTCCACTCTCGGCGCCCCCCCCGCCAAGCACAGCACCCCTCCTTGCGCTTGGCCCCCTTTTCCCAAATGACGTCCTGTGCCGTCCTAGCGTCACTCCCATTTCTTTCTCTGCTTGCCAGAGAGCCGCCTCACTGGCTCCAGGGGCCCCGTAGACGAGGAGCAGAGGGATCTCACCGCGTCCTGCCCGCTGCGCAGCCTTGTGTCAGTTGTGGACACTCGGGCCTCCACGTCCCCCAGGAGCCGGAGCTGTGCGCTGCCGCATGCCGGCCGGCCCTGACTCGCCCCCTCACAGGGCGCGCTTGGTGGGCTGGCTGACTGTCGTCCTCTTGGATCCGCCCCTTACCTCTTGGCTCCAGCCCCTGTGATGGCAGCTCTTCTCCTGAACCCTGCCCTTGCTGGGGGCAGCATGGGAGACAGGGGTAGCCCCCTCCCCCGCCGGGAAGAAAGGCCTGGAAAGGCCTGGCTGAGTCCCAGGCTGTCTTTCCCTGCTCTGGCAGAGATCAAAGGGCCAGGGACGTGCCCTTTGTCCACACCCCAAGGAGGCTGGAGAGAGCAGCCCTGCCTGGACAGGAGGTGGTCGGTGGGGGGGGGGGGAGCTGGAGCAAGGGTGCACGGGGAGGGACCCCTGGCAGGTCATATCCGCAAGCCTCAGTTCCTCCTCTAGGGAGCGGCCGTGAGGATGTCTCCCCCTAAGCCCGCTGGAAGTTTCCTCAGCAAAGTCCTTGGCCTGGGTGAGGCAGGGACTGCGAGCGGAGCCCCTTCTACAGCTGTGGGGGGCAGTGCACGGCAGACACTCGATAACAGGCCGGGGCGTTCTGCAGGCCTGCCTCCAGGGCAGCCTTTTTGGTGTCCAGGACTCAGTGCTGGGCGGGCTGCAGGGTGCAGTGGAGCCTCCTGTCCTCTGATTGCTGTGGTCGCGGCGCCCCCTGCTGGGCACCACTCAGCACTTACGGAGCTGCACCGACAAAGCCGGCCCAGAAAAAAAACGCATCTCCCTCAGAAAGGCACCTGCCCACACAGTTTCTTGAAATAGCATTTGTTACCGATTCAGCAGAGTTCATTGATTAGAGCATCTTGTACATTTCAAACGATTGAATCAATTCTTTAAAAATTATTAAAAACACCCACAAAGAATCTGTTGTATAATTTGATCTTTATCCTCACCATCCTTTATGTTAAATTTTGAATTTTTATTAAAACAGCAGGAAAAAGAAACTAAAGATGAAATCTGATATTGTTCTAATTAAATGTGACCACTTGGCCTAAGTCAGAGTCAACAAACTTTTTTTTTTTTTTTTTTTTTTTGGTAAAGGGTCTGATAATGTCTTAGGCTTTGCAGGCCAGTGGGTCTCTGTCAACAAAGACCTGGCTACAGGGTTATGATGGGGAAAACAGCTTTGGATGGTATGGCAACCAGTGGGCGTGGCTATGTGCCAATAAAAATTTATTTACAAAAACAGGCCGAGCATGGTGAATATGCCCAAAGGGTCTTTGAGGGTCCATCTAGCTGACACGGTCACAAATGGGGACATGTAACTATAAAAAGTAAGAACTGTCTGAAGTGTTAAGGAAACTGGCTAAGACTGGGCTTGCCTTCCAGCTGGGGGAGGCGTGGCTGGGCGAGCAGTGGGTCTCCCTGGGAGGACCCTTGTCCCACTCAGCGCTCACGGTGTCACCTGGCCCCCTCCTTCAGGAGTTGGTGCTTGCTTGCACCTGTTCTGGCATCTATAATAAGAAATAGCAGTCGAAGATGTTTCCACTTCAGGTTCTTAGAGTAGCTTTGAATCTTCAGAAAATTTCTCCAGAGAAGCGTAATCCCCTGAGGGTCAGGTTTTGCCTGTAGTTAAATGACAGGTCTTTAATATTGTTACAATTATTGTCATAAAAACCATGTGTGTTAATGAGAAAATCAAGCACTAGTTAGAACATCAGACTTGAAAAGTAAACTTCTCCTTCCTTGTCGCAGTTTCCTGGTTGCTCTCTTCAGAGTTAGGTACTCACAAGTATCTTATACTATGTATCTTTCCAGAAATTTCCTACACAGGGGCAAACAAATGTTTATCCTAAAGAAAAACTGAATGGTATCCTGTTTATTCTGCCCCTAGGGTTTTTTTCTTGTTCCTGTAAGAATGTATCAGGTCTGCCTGTCCCCACACACAGAGCTAGCACACTGGTATCTGGTAGTTCCTGGCTGGTTTGTTTGGATACACCACAACTTACTCACCCAGCCCACACCTTGGGCCAGCAGTACTCCCTTCAGGTGGTGTCTCCACGTCCCAGGTCCGGTGGTAGGGTGACTGCCAGGTACCTCCCTGTCCCAGCACACATCTTGCAGAGAACCTGAGGTCTGTCTGCCTTCCCCATGTCTGCTCAGCTTTCTGGCACATTCACATAAATGCAATCCTGCACTGTTCTTCCAGAACTGTTCCTCATAAATATTGGCAACACCCTATAGATACCGCACTGGTGATGAGTGTTCCTATCTGTTAAGCATAGAGCCTGGGAGGACCAGTGACGAGCCCGCCATTGAGTGATGACACTCCTCAAGACCTGTTTTTCCGTTCATAGAAAAGAATACAGACTTGGCTGGAAGACCCCCCCCCCGCCCAGTAAGCTGGTGGCCATCGGCTGTTTCTTGCTGCCGGGGCTTCGTGCATGCCAGTCCCCTGCCTGAAATGCTTTCTCTTTCTGTGGGGTGCGCAAACTTGCAGGCAGACCCCTGTTGTCAGTGGTCTGTTGGGTGAGGCCTGCACACCAAAGCCCAACTCTCCTGTCTCTCCACTGTGCCCTCCTTCACCTATTGGGACCGTCATCCAGCACAGCCATGTTAAACTGTGATAATCTGGGTACCCGGGTCTCTCCTCTGATAAAACAACGAACATCTGAAGAGCTAGAGTTGCAGACGGGGCCCCTGGCCTGTGGCAGGCAGCATTCACTGGGGCCATGGGCTGAGCCCAAAGTGGTTCCACACACCCAGACACCAAGAGCCAGTACCGAGGAGCCCAGCTATATCTCTCCAGCACTGATCACCTCTTGTGTTTGTGTTTGTAGTTCACAGGAAATGGGCCGTGTGAAATGAACAGTGTCCAGAAGAGTGAACATGAGAAGAATCTGGAACACAGCAAAAAGCGCTCTCGGCCCTCGCTCCTCCGTCCGGTGTCTGCACCAGCCAAGGTAGCCATCAGCTGTGCACATAGATGTCCACCTATATGGACCCCCAGCAACCGGGCCCTCTCTGTAGACGACCTAGGAAGCAATGTGCCCAGGGCATGGGCTGAGTCTGGACCCTGGTCTCACTGGAATTCACCAGCTGTGGGACCTTAGGAGTTCGGCTCACCTCTAAGGTGGCTGTTCACTCATTACCCGTGGCTCACAGGATTGTTATGAGGAGCATTACTTCTTCCTGTAGAAACAGGATGTACTGCTAGGTCCGCTCCTTTTCGCCATGCTCTTTCATGGGCAGGCCACCATGTGCTGTTGTGCAGGTCGGTCACTGCACAAGAAGCCCCGTTGAGGGGTGAGAGGGGCTGAGATTGAGGTCCTGTTGCACTCATCACCCATGATGATGACTCTAATTCCATCATTTTTTGTGCATTTACTAGTTGGCTCTTTAAGGAAGAGCTTTTCCTTCGTCCCCATTTATTGGGTACCTACATGAGCAGGGACTCTGGGTTATAATCTGTGAGTTTTATGGTTCATCTTGGCATCTAAACTGTCTCAGATTTGGCCGACGTGGCCCCTTTGAGCTGGCTTCTGTGTCCTCCGGACATATCCCCCGCATTGGGAGATGGTTTTGTAGGGTCTTCAGTGCCTCAAGCACGCAGCCAATTTCTGGGCTAAGTCCAGCTTAGAGACAAAACTCTTAACAGAGATTTAAAACCCAGGCTTCTCTAGGATCATCTTGTCTTCTTTCTATCCCCTTGCCACCGCCATTACAGCCCACGGGACAAAACAGGCAGGGGGAGAAGTTTCTGATACTACATCCCAGGATACATCTCCCTTGCTATTCCAATTTTGTGATGCTACCACCTCTTACCAGAAGCCCTAAACTGCTGAAATTTAGAACCCAGATCATGGGTGGAGCAGCCTTCACTAGGCCACAGAGGCTGAGATGGGTGGTCCTGAGATTTTCTCCACAGGGGTCCTGGGCAGACCCCATCCAGCCCCTCGTGGCAGTTGCTGTCAGGGAGCTCAGCGCCGGTGATGCCCTAACTCTGACAAAGATGCCCAGAGCCTTCATAGCACGGGATTTCTCTCCACAGAAGAAAATGAAACTCCGAGGTACCAAAGACCTGTCCATCGCTGCCGTGGGGAAGTATGGCACCCTGCAGGAGTTTTCCTTCTTTGACAAGGTGAGCCGTCGAGGCTGGCCTCACCCAGCTCAGGTGTGCAGGATGGGAGAGCCCCTGCGAAGGGAGCCGGTAGGCTGGGCAGCGGCTGGGGTAGGCTGGGGAGAGGGGGCCGGCACCCAGCTTTGCATCGTGGGTGGCAGTGCAGGCAGAAAGTAGCAGAGCTTGGGACCCGCGCAGGTTTGAAGACACATGTCGGCCTCCCCGAAGCTGTGTGGCTTTTCTAAAGCCAGGGTGGTCATGGGGCTCCCGCCCAGGGTCAGTGACAGGAGCCAGCAAGCTGGCCCCGCGCACATACTGTCCGAGCTGTGAATTAGTTGCCTGGAGCCCCTTGCCCTGCTGACCACAACCGGTTGCTTGAGAGCACGTGCATCGGTGACTCCGTGCTCACCTAGTGATGTCTGAGCCGAGGGAGGGGTGGGGTGGAGTGGGGAGTGCGGGTGGGGCCTGGCCCTCCAGGGCCCCCCCTCATTCCCTCTCCCTGCAGGTTCGCAGGGTACTGAAGAGCCAGGAGGTCTACGAGAACTTCCTCCGCTGCATCGCGCTCTTCAACCAGGAGCTTGTGTCCGGCTCCGAGCTCCTCCAGCTCGTCAGCCCGTTTCTCGGGTGAGTGAGACTTCCCGGGACGTCCGTGAGGTTGTGCGTCCCTGACGTCTGTCCACCTTTCTTTTGCTTGTTGCTTTCGGGAAACAGTCAATGCTTTCTTTGATTTTTGTTTGTAAACTGCCATGGTGGTGGAGGTCATTCTAGATTGAGCCTCCGTAGAGTGAGAAAGAACACACAGACAGGTCCTGGGCCCTGTTATCGCACGGTGACAACCAGGATGCTGACACTCGCACGATCCACCTGTCTTGTCAGGTTTTCCCGCTTCGTGCGTGCGTGTGCACGGCTCCATCACCTGCGAAGGGTCCTGTGTCCACCGCAACAGTCAAGACACTGAGCGGCTTCAGAACCACAGGGGTGCTCGTGTTGACCTGTGGTACCCACACCCACGTCCGTCCTCCTCCCCCACCCTGATCTTGGCCCCACACCCCTGGCAAACCCCTAATCTGAGCTCCAACTCTAAAACTTACATAACAGAAGTGTCATATAGGTGCAATTACATAGTACCTAACCTTTGTGGATTGGGTTTTCTTCACCCAGTATAATCCTCTAGGGATTCACTTGATGCGTGCTTTTAAAAATTCTGCCAATCAGAAATTGACAGGAAGAAGGAAATGGCCACTCGGCACCCCTGCCGGCCAGAGAGAAGCCCTGTCGGTGGGGTCAGCGGCCTGCTTCCGGCACAGGCTGCTGCAGAGTGTGGGCAGATGGGCAGACCCTGGGGGCTGGGGCAGCCGCCGGGAGGGCAGGGGTTTTCTAGTAGGTGAATGCACATGCACAGTGCGCTTTAGGAGGGGGGTGGGCCGGCCCCAGCATCACCTCCTGCTCATCAGCTCTGTCACGTCAGGCAAGTTTCTTAGACAGTCTGAGTCTTAGTTTTCCTGTTATGAAAAGGGGATTTCTAGAGATACCACGCACAGTTTCAGAGCGCTCCAGGTGGGCCGTACGCTTAAGACCTTTAAAATAGCGTCTGGGATGTGGCAAGTGCACATTCTATAATGACTATGTAGTGGCTTACTTAGCCCTTAAGTCATCCCCAGGGACAGGCGCTTCCTGAGCCGTTTACTATTAATTAAAAAAAGTTTTTTAAGTTTTCTTTTTAAATACAAAATAAAGCACAGATCCAGGAAACCACATGATGGATGACTTGATGAATCATTTTTAGGCAAAGCTCCTTGTGCCCACCACCCAAGTCACATGTGGACCTTCGCTAGCCCCCAGGAACCCCTCCCTGGGCCATCCCATTGTGCTCCCTCCCCCCTCAAAAGTATCACCGGGGGGCGAGTGCCTCCCTGCACTAAGGGTGGTGCAGATACCGTCCAGCACACGGCTCACTCTTGCCTCCTCGTCTGCGTTTTGTTTTGGAACACATCTGTGAGTCTCTCCCTCCCACTTTATTCCCTGCTGTTTCTGTGGCGGCGCCCCCACACCCACAGCCCTATCCGCCACATCCCTCTGTCCGTCAGGAGGCAAGTGGCGTCCACATTCTTTCTGTGGCTCATTCATTTATGGGTTCACTGGGGGTTGCAAAAGAGAGACCCTCGACAGCGTTTTTCACCTTATGGCGGCCCAGGGTAGATGCTTGATTTCTCCCTTTATTACAATGGCTGGATGATGAGTCACATTCCTGTCATACCAGGACCAGTTAGGGACCAATTCTTTTTTCTTTCTTTCTTTTTATAAAGCATCATACGGGCGCATGGACACATTTGATGTGTTGCAATTTTTTTTTTTTTTTAAGATTTATTTATTTTAGAGAGCGACCCCAAGCGGGAGGGGCAGAGGGAGAGGGAGAGAGACTCACGCAGGCTCCCTGCTGAGCATGGAGGCAAACAAGGGGCTTGATCCCACAACCCCGAGATCACAACCCGAGCTGAAACTAAGAGTCAGATGCCTAACTGCGCCACGCAGACGCCCCTGTTTCAGTCTATTTTAAAGATGCGGAGGCTGAGGCCCAGAGTGCATACCTCTCACTTTTCTCAGAGACAGCTCTTCACAAGAGAGTTGCCATGGTGATGGGTGGGTCTAGGGTGGCCCGGCCCAGAAGCTGGCCCTTTGCTCATCCTCTGCCCTCGGGACATATGCTATCAGGCTGGGCTGCAGCATCCTTTTTTTTTTTTTTTTTTTTAAATTTGGTATTTCTTGGATGTCTTTCAGTGTGCAATGTGAGTCTACATGATCATTGGTAGCGACTGCATACTATTCCCTTACTTGTACGAATTGTGGTTTTCTCAGCAGGGTCTATAATGAAGGACGCTTGTCTCCGGTTTCTATAGTCAGTGCTAAGGTCATGCTCCATAGGTTGGGATACTCAGAGGTCAAGTTAGGGTCATCAGGCAGTGCTTCTTGAGATCCTGAGAGGATACACACGTCAGGGTGACCTTTTCACTTGGGTTCACTTTCCCAGGCTGGTAGAGATCTCTTAACACTCTGAAAAATGGCCCAGAGCAGGATGGCGCTGTTGTACACCCTCGGCTAAACCGTGGCTGGCTTTTTATATGGACTCGAATTGCATGCTCACTCCCACGGCAGTGTGTCTGTGAGCTCAGAATCCAGTGCTCTGGGCCTGGGTCCCGGCTGTGGAGTGGGCGCTGTTGCTGGAAAGATGACGTGCTGTGGTGGGCGAGGGGCCTGCGGAGGCCTGTGCGGGGCAGGCATGCCCAGTTGGGTGCGTCACCAGCCCCAAGTCCGAATTGGGACCCGCTTCCTACCAGCAGCATGTTGTTTGCAAAATGGCCAAACCTACTTCCTGCCGTTGTCCAGTGGGGTGGGGGGGGATTAAGGGAGAAGAATGAAGGAGCTTGAAATTTGAGGTGCTGAATGGGTGGGCAGTGTTGGGTTGGGGCCCACTGTTCCCGTTTCCACGCACTGAGAGCAGTGCCGGGGAAGGGTCACGGGGATGTGCAGCGAAGAACTACAGCGGGCCTCTGCTCGCTCGCCTTGCTGTGACGCCTGGCTGGGCTAGCAGTCACCCCGACAAGGCCTCTCTCGAGGTGTGAGCCTTGGTCTGGGTTTGCACGCCCAGGGGCAGCCAGGCACAGGCGCCCCAAGATCTGCCAGAGTCGGGGCAGGAGTGGGCTGTGTCGGAGTGACCGCTGCCCCTTCTAAGGAGCATTCACGGTCGGCATTTGTCACGGCTGCAACGTCAGATGTCCTCCGCATGGGTTTTGTTGATGTCTTCCCTCCCTGCATTTCCGTGTGCTCATGGGTTTTCATTGTGAGTGGAGTTGGCATGGGGTCCCTACGGTGGGGCACAGTGGACAGCCATCCCAGGAGGGGAGCGTGTGGTCCACGAAGGAAGGGGGCTGCGGGGGGCAGGATGGCCATGCCACCCGTCCCACGTACCTGCTTCCTTGCGGTCGGATTTTTTTTTTTTTTTAAGATTGTTTTAAGTAATCTCTACACCCAATGTGGGGCTCGAACTCACAACCCCAAAATCAAGAGCCGCATGCTCCACCGACTGAGCTGGCCAGGCGCCCCTCGGTAGGATTTGGTACTCGTTTAACCGAAAATCCAGCTGACACTGGGGGCCAGTTGTATTAAAGCCTTCCTATTGCATGGCCATTACGTTATGACTTGTGAGAGTGTGTCTGGGAGGGGATCCCCCTCAGGTAGGATGGCTCTGGAGCGACGGTTGGCAGACTTGACCTGTCGGGGCCGAGGGGCAGGACTGCTGAACTCTTGCGCCAGAGCAGCAACAGGCTGCGCCAAGCAAATGGACACAGTGGTGTACCAATAAAACTTTATTTGTAGGGACAGGCATGGGCAGCTTGGCAGTAGTTTACCAACCCCCAGCCTGATGCCCGGCCTTTTCCAGTTAAAGAACATCACTAGCCCCAGCTTCTGCCAGTCCGAATTGTCTCTTCCAGCATGTTTCAAGGCTCTCCTGTTAGTGTTGGGACCTGGCAGGTGACAGAAGGGCGGGAGGCAGATTTACTCACACATTTGAGGACATTACACACCTCTGATGCTTGATTCCGCCTCTCGGCCCTCCTCTCTGACCACCGTCAGCGGGCGTTTACAGGAGGCCGTCCCAAAAGCACTAGGTCCCTCCCAGAAAGCCCCAGGGAAGCCAACTTACTGTTTGTCTTTATTTCTGAAGGAAATTTCCAGAACTCTTTGCACAGTTCAAGTCCTTCCTGGGGGTGAAAGAGCTGTCATTTGCCCCGCCCATGAGCGACAGATCCGGGGATGGAATAAGCCGGGAAATTGACTACGCGTCTTGCAAGCGCATTGGATCCAGCTACCGAGCGCTCCCCAAAACCTACCAGCAGCCCAAGTGCAGTGGGAGGACGGCCATCTGCAAGGAGGTAGTGCTCCCTGGCGGCTCCTGTCAGCTTACGTGGTGCATCACCCCCGACGCCACAAAAACACCCATCACCCCCATGTTTTACATGAAAACTGAGTGTCCGCCCCCTAAATATTGAATAACAGACGGTGCTGGGATGCGGCCAGACAAAATGCCTGAGCTGGTGGTTCCTTCCCTACTGGTAGCTTTGGCAAGCCACAGAGCACGTGGCCTTGGCGTTGGCTTTGGCATTTTCCTCCATTTAGATTTACATGTATTTCTGCCAGGAGCCTGCTCTGTCCCAGGTTCACTGCCCTTGGTATGTCTCTGTTTAGCCTGACCCTTGAATACTTTTTCGAGGTTAGTAGACAGGCTGTTACTCTGTTTCCAGAATTCAAGAGTGCTTGCTGGATTTCAGGATATAGAGTCCAGGGGTCAGCAAACTAAAATCTGGCCCTATGCCTGTGTTTGCAAATAAAGTTTTATTGGCACATAGACATGCTCATTCATTTACATAGTGCCTGTGGCTGCTTTATCAGGACAAAGGCAGAGTTCAATCGTCCTGACAGACGGGCTGGCCCGCAAAACCTAAAATATTTATTATCTAGCCCTTTACAGAGAAAGTTTGCCAACCCCCGAAATAGTACGATTTGTTTACTTGACCGAAGTCCTGTTTTCTCTTAAAACTACTTTAAAATTAAGGTTGCTATTTGTATGAGAAGGTGATGTCCTGTAAAATGCAGATTTCGTTACTTGTCTCCGTATCTTTTACGCTGGACAGCATAGCAAACGGTTCTGGCCGCCGAGGCCTACCACCCTGGTCACGGCGTTCCCTCTCGGTGCAGGTGCTGAACGACACCTGGGTCTCTTTCCCCTCCTGGTCCGAGGACTCCACCTTCGTCAGCTCCAAGAAGACCCCCTACGAAGAGCAGCTGCACCGTTGTGAGGATGAGCGTTTTGAGGTGTGTGTGCTGGTGTTGCTGGGGCCGGGGGGGGGCGTGGGATGCGAGCCTGTCCCCCCTTCTCCACTTCACTCTCTCCCCCTCTCCACGCCCTATGTATCCTGCTCCTCCCTCCCACCCTCCCCAGTCTCCTTTCTAGTATCTGGGATTCCAGCACTTTCCAGCAGGGGGCAGCACCCAAAAGTGTCCCTTCTCTGCCTTGCCGGCCTTTAGGCTGGCTAGGCAATGGTGCTGTTTCTTTTGATTTTAAATATATATATTTATTTACATTTAATTAATCAATTCAAGTTACCTTAATTTTTTTCATTGGAACGCTTATTGAGATCGTTGTATATTTATATGCAGCAAGTGATCCCGGGGACCCTTCTCCCAGCGGTCACAGCTTGTAAAATCGCGGGCACAGTGTCCCAGCCAGGAGGTTGCCATTGACTCACCCTGAGATCTTACTCACATCTCCATAGTTGAACTTGTATTTGTTTGTGCACGCCTGTGTTCGCATGTGCGTGGCGTGTGTGTGCGCGCGCGCGAGTGTTCTCCACCACTGAGGCACCCCGCCGCTCCCCCACCCCTGGGATCCCTCCTGCCGCCCTTGATGGCCCTCCGCACCTCCCTCCCGACCCCTGGCAACCACTGACTTGTCCTCCAGCTCTGTCACTTTGTCATAAGTGGAATCGCACAGTGTGTTCCTTTGGGGATCGGCTCCCTATCAGCACGTGCCCTGGAGAGTCTTCCCCGGGGCTGTGAGTACCTCGAGTCCTCCCTTTTTATTGTCCCTAATGCCCGTGAAGTGGGTCAGCCCGGGGACCGTATCCCTCCTCAGATGGGTCCACCTGTGTTCTAGCCACTGGATGTTCATGTGGTGGGAAGGGGCCCACAAGTCTTATTTCGTGGGCACCAGGCTTGCACCATTGCCAAGGTCGGACCCCAGCCCCATAACCAGCCTTTCTTGCTCTGGGCCCCTGGAGCCTCTTCAGGGCCTCCACGGCCTGGCGTCCATCATCCCCCCCC